AAACTGATTCAAGCTCTATGCTTATTCTGCAAGGCGTTGTTCTAAAGAATTTAAGGACTGTCTTTTTTTGTAATCGAAGTCGAATCACCGTTATGGACATGTTGTCACCTTCGTGCTACTAACATTACGGAGGCAAGATACTATAACACCGTGGTGATTCATTCACATACGGTAGAGAGAACAAGCAAATTGCATAAAGGTGACTCTGACATGCAGAAGCCATGCAAAATACCCTTGAAGAGGGTATCGCGACTTCTTCCAGAAAGTCATTTCGCATGTAAGGTGGCAAGTATTCAACAAGATGAATTCGTTGAATAATCTGTTCAAAGAAACACATTTCGGTTCTCGATGCAGTCTTACTCTTCAGTTTTGCCAGCAAAAATGTATGCATTTTTTAGGTAAGATACTAGACACATACAAAGGAGTCATAGATTTTTTTCCCTAAGTTTTGAGCACTATCCGGTTTCGGCGTTAAGAACTATACCGGTGATGCAGCTTCCCTGGTGCCCCTCGTCAGTAGTTCTCAAGGAAGCCTCAAAATTATAGCAAAAGATTTCAATTAATCCAAAGTCCAAATCTGGCTGGCTCAATAGCTCTTAGCTGCCAAGGATGTACAGGGAAGTCCATATGAAATGTGGCACAGAGAAATTCCCAAACCCTGCATCAAACAACTTTCAAACAATCACTTCTATTTGGTAAAAAAACATAAGATCTTGTCGATCACATCTACAATACCGCTAACATTTTTTGAAAAATAGACGCGAATGTCCATACATGTATCGACATGTCGCGACATGTATGGACATCACCGTCGCGCGGCCATATCTCGCTTCAAAGTGGACGAATTCTGAATCCAAAGCCCATTCGATTCAGCTCGGCGCGTAGAATCTTCTGATATATTGGAAGTGGGGGTACGATGCCTTCTATATTTTACTATTCCAATTTTGGAAAAATCACGCGTTTTTAAATTCTAATCGTAATAACTTCCTTCGGAATAAGTATATTTTGGATCCGAAAATAGCGCCTTGCTTAGCTCGTCAGGGCCGAATCTTTTTATATACAGCGTGTCTGTGATATTTCGATTTCAGTATTCTTGAATCTTTCACGTCTCTTCGCGAAGGTGTAAAGCAGCGAGCATTGATCCCAGTAATTTCCAGCAAGGATCTTTCGATAATGCTTTTTCTGTAGATTATGATGTGCTAAATAGCACTTCTCGCGTATCTGTCAGAAAACTTGCCTGCTTGCTTTTATAAATCAAAGTTACTGGGAACTGTGCTGTCGAATGGTGCATGACTCCGGCTCCAGTCTATAAAAATCGCCGAGTTACAAGCCTACGAAAACACATCCTCATAAATTTTGCTCAAAATGTAAAGATCACATTCGTCGAAATTCCACCGTGAGTGCTTGAATGACGGTCTTTGCGGATATTATGTTCGTTTCGCCCAACGACTCCCACTGTATTGAATATGGCGCTTGCGTGTGCTTCACGTGCTCAATTGAATATAAAAGCTATTTCGTGGCTAGAGTTCAAAGCATCAAATCTAACACAGTAAGATCCATTAAAAATGTGAAAAGATTTGATTAGAGTGCTGTACAAGCGCTCGCTGAGGAATTTCGACGAAATATGCGATCTTTACATTTTGGACAAAAGTCATGAGGACGTGTTTTCGTAGGCTCGTAACTCGGTGAATTTTACAGACTGGAGCCTGAGTCATGCACCATTCGATAGCACAATTCCTAGAAACTTTGAGTTATAAAAGCAAGCAGGCACGTTTTCTGACAGATACGCGAGAAGTGCGGGCAAATTTACGGACTTTCGTGATGCAGTTACAGTCACCTCGCCGTATCTTTCCAAAAAGACCCTGTAATCCTTAAAGATTACACGATTTCACGATTTTCGTAAAGAGCGTGTTCGAAAACCCCTATAAGCGAAGTTTCCTCAATTAGAGATCATCGACACTTCGACCAAAATCCACCGGCGAGCTCCCGGAGCGTAATAAACGAGAAAAAAATGAAATAACTCGAACATATGGGAAAACTTGCTCGTAAAGGTTATCCGACCTGCTGATTTCGAAACACATCTGCTTAGCAAGATAGCTTCGTATCCTGGAGCTATGGCGAGTAGAATTTGGGACGACAGGATTTTTTCACAATTCACCAGCCGTTCTATTTCCTTTGAAAACAAATCTGCGGCTATTATTTAGCACATCATAATCTACAGAAAAAGTATTATCGAAAGATCCTTACTGGAATCTACTGGGATCAATGCTCGCTGCTTTACACCTTCGAAGAGACGTCCGCAGAAAGATTCAAGAATACTGAAATCGAAATATCAAAGACACGCTGTATATAAAAAGATTCGGCCCTGACGAGCTAAGCAAGGCGCTATTTTCGGATCCAAAATATACTTATTCCGAAGGAAGTTATGGCGATTAGAATTTAAAAACGCGTGATTTTTCCAAAATTGGAATAGTAAAATATAGAAGGCATCGTACCCCCACTTCCAATATATCAGAAGATTCTACGCGCCGAGCTGAATCGAATGGTGGCTTTGGATTCAGAATTCGTCCACTCTGAAGCGAGATATGGCCGCGCGACTGTGATGTCCATACATGTCGCGACATGTCGATACATGTATGGACATTCGCGTCTATTTTTCAAAAAATGTGAGCGGTATTGTACATGCGTCCTCCTCTGGCTTGAATATTCACAAATTTCCGCAAATTCTTGGGTTTCGCGCAATCGTTTCAGCAAAATGCTTTGATACATTGTCTTGATTTGACACGCTTTGTGAGGCTTGAGCCGAAAAGTTTTCTTGGTTCCCAGTACTTCTGTCTAAGAAAGGAACTCCTCAGATGTTGCAATTTCGTTGGAATTCCTCATACAATACTTTTATTATCTGGAAGTCTGGCAACAAGAAGGCCAAAAATATGGAGGAAACAAAAAATGCTACTGCAAGGCAATGCCCATAAAGGACCAAAAAATGGATTTTTCTAGAGGTCACAATGCACATAGACAACCTGCATTTCGTAGACATTGCCTTGAAAAAACCGAGATTATAAATACATACTTCCAAAAGCATACCAGAATTTGCATGAACTCAATAAGTATGGCGCAAAATTTAGATCAATCTGTAATCAAAATGGGAATGTGCGAGTACATTGGCAACAAGTTACTTTTTTTAGAGTCCACAAAGAGAAAACTCTCCAACTTGCTCTAATAGCATAGCTGTTATGCCAAAACAAAGATCTAAACTCTTATTAAATTTCAACTGAGAGATATTTTTCTACTCTTCCACTGAGAGATATTTTTCTACTCTTCGTTATCCATAAGATATAGTGTTCCAACATGATAGTGATATAGATGCTTGCAGAAAATTTTATTCATTTAATGTGTCACCATTGCAATATTTTTTACGCCATAAACTTCTATTGGTTGTGACGGTTTTGATTAAGTAACTTCTATTTCTATGTGCTTTTTTATGCAAAACTTAACATTTTTTTGTGGATTTCAGATTTTATTCATTATAACAAATCTCAGCTTGCAGCACATCTCTTCCCGCGCGTCAAATGTTTCCATGGCAACTAGGCTGAAACCTTAGCTAAACTCAATTCTTCTCTTTTACTTCTTGAAGTCGATTGCTTATTCCATGTTCTCTTACACTGGCTGAGATACAAGCATGAACATCTTTTCTACTGGAGCAAAATCATACCAAGCAATAATCTGACTGCAAATTTAACCGAGGAATAGCTAAAAGTGAATCTTGCCAGGCTTTATTGAGTTGAGCATGCTATGAAAAGAAGAATGCGACAGATATCTTAGCCAGTGTGAATTTCCGTGTCATTTATCTGTTCTGAGTTTAGGCAGACGACAATCTTGTACATATTTACTTCAAAAAATTTCAAATCATTATTGCTGAAATGGCTATTTCTCAACAATTAATCCTGTGTGCTAAAATATTCATCAATCAGCTAAAAAATTTTGGAAGGAAAGTGGAAGGGAGAATTGGAGGGAGTGCTTCTATTCATCCTAGAATAATTTTACAGACATTCAGACTCTTCATTAGTACTGTAAAGAAAAAAACAACAGCAAATTCAAAATTACCCTGCGATTTTGCTGTTTTGGTGTCTCATCCACCTACAAAACCGAACCCATAACAAATGGGGTTTTTGCAATTGCGAGCGTTTCTTGAATATGAGTATAACAAAAAAATTGGAAATTCTCGGTGGCAAGGCAAAACTCTGCGTTTGTATGCGGTACCCTCCAATTTTCGAATGTTTTATTCTTTGAAGCTCTTTTTTCAAGTTTGCAGGAATTATGATTTATTCCAGCTAACAGTAAGTTAATTCAGAAAGCAATCAAAATTCTATGGTAACATATCTTATATAGTCGTCTAAAGTAAATTAAGCTACCAAATTAGCAGAGTTGGGAGAGCATGAACTTCGCGTGGCAAAATTAGATATAAGACGAATAATTTGTCATAACAATATACTTTTCGTATACTTCCATGCATCGCTAGTACTTCATATCCATTCTTTCTTTTTTAGTTATTGCGGGGCTCTCAAAGTTTAGCAAAAGTCTTTCAATCAATTTTTGTATTTCAATTTATTTCAATATTTCAATTTTTGACTACACAATTACGGTTGGAGCTCGGCTCATAAGTAAGTTGGATATCGCTTTTGGAACAAAAAGCAAAAGGGATACGTTGTAGCCGAAAAAACACGACAGGTCACGTTTTTTCTAGTCGACGTTTCGTTTTCTTGAGGGTTAGTTTATTACGTTTAGGGTTTAGGGTCGAAGGGGAATTCGTAAAATTTTGCGAAAAGCAAGGGAGACTTCATTGTTTGTATTTCGGAAAGCCATCTCGTGCCGAGCTCTGATTATGGTGAAAGCGTATAACTTTGACATCTACTGCACCAAGAAGACTGAAACTATTGATCTCATCTCTTCAATGATTGTAGTTCTGACTGACTTTGTATCAATTGCTTGAACGCAGGTGAATGTCGCGTCCACCGTCGGCTCGCCCGAAGACGTCTTCAGGCCGAGCAGCCAGTGCTGCTCGCCGTGCTGCTCCTCCCGAACAAATGATGGGCAATGGTAATAGTTTTACATTGATACTGTACTCTGTAAATCCACTAATGATGCCTCAAGGATCCATTCCGGTTCCACGACCACCATCCAGGATTTCTATATCAAGAGCGGGCGCCCCTCCTCCAGCTGTGCCACCGTCGCGATCCGGAATTGGTGGGTGCTTGAATATTTTAAAAGGCAGATTCTTATACATTATAGCTTTCTAGGATCCAGAATGGGTACTCCACAACAACGACTTGGAACAGCGCAAAGAGTAGGGTCAGCGGTAAGTGGAAAGTTACTGACAGGGCTTCCATTTTTTGTTTAGATGAGCCCACTATCGATCTACATTACTTGCTGAATGTTTCAAAAAAAATCCCACAAAAACTGCAAATATGGATTTACATTTGAGGGTGGAGATCGTCCTGCCACCGGTATGGCTCGTCCCCCAACTGGTCTCAACCCAACCATTCGCCCTGTAACCCAGCAAGGTCTGAGTGGAGGAAGAGCTGTAAGCCGTCTTGGAACAGGAAGTTAGCATTTTACTTAGGGATACTGTAAGAAAAACTAATGTTTTGGTTCAGGCATGAGACAAGTTCATGACAAATCTTACTACATCGGCTTGATAAGAGCAAAAATGAATCAACTGACGGCAGAGATTGGTCGACTTGAAGAAGTTTATCAGAAGGGCTTGCGTGATCGAATGGAGTTGGATGCCTATGAGGAAAGGTAACGTAATATTTTGGATCATTTCTACCACCTCCCAAAGGAACCATAATTTAGAGCAAAGCAGAGCGCTTTAGAGCTGAAAGAAATGCAAGGAAAACTGATCGATTACAACGTGGTGAGTAAACACGTTGAAGGCTTTTCCAAACCCAAATTTTTTGACTCGACTCACACAGAATTTAACCACAAGTATGAGAAAAGGCAATATTCACATCACTTTCAGATCATTGACAATATGCATACAAATCGCGACGTCAGCGATTTTGAAGCAGAAGTTCGTAGAGCAAAGGAAAATGCTGATGAGGTGACTAGATTGCTTTTGGTCAGGGTCAGCCTCTCGCCCAGATCGTACTTTCGAACCAATCTGTGCTTTTGATACGGTAGAAATTACGGTCTCGGCAGGAGTTATCGTTGGTTATCCTAACTAGACAAGATTTACTTCTATTATACAATGTTTCAATAACTCTCTAAAGTCGGCTATTTATAGGTAGAAACCACTGTAAAAGAATTGTTTAACGAACGACAAGCTCGAGAACGAGAAGCTGCAGAGATTGCTATGGAAATCGACGAGCAAAAACGCCTAAACCAAGCGGTCCTTGCTGGAATGGTAGAAAAGAATTGTTGTGATTCTCTAGTGTAAATAAGCCCATACACCGACTATACATATTTCAGGACCCAGGCATCCGCCAACACTACGATGAGTGCAAGGAAAAGAGTGAAAGTTTGAGAGCGGAGGTTGACGAAATCCAAGATGAAGTGAATCGTCTAAATGAACAGATCGATCAGTACGAAATGGAACTTGGGAATTCACCATTGAAGAAGAAAGCTGGTGAGTAGTCGGGAAAATCATTTGTAGAATATCCGGCTAAACTTTCAAAAAATTCCCAAGCAGGGGAGGGAGGTTAGAAAGATCCTAACAAAAAGGCGCATTGCGTTGACTCTTTTTTATTTGAGATGGTTCCGAATTGTTAGCAAGGCTCCAGCAACCTTATCTCCCCCCCCCTTTGATTTTTTTACAATGATTCGACTCTTTTAGAAATTTGAATGTATTGTTCCAAATCGAAAACATGAACAGTGTTATCGCAACAATGTCTTCTTCATCTTTTGCGGAATAGGAGCTTAGAAAATTGGCGTGAGAAGCAAATAGAATGTTTAAAAATATAATATGTAGTTGAAAAACAAATACTAATTAACTTCTTTTGCTAGACTTGTTAGTTTTTGATATCTATACCAATTTATTGAAATTATTTCACAAACGAGTGGTATTGACAGCATTGATAAACGATGTTTAGTTCAATTGCAACAGAATCTCATGGAGCTTGAGAAGAAACGAAGCGCATTGTTGATTGAAAAGGAAGCTAAGGAAACACCACAGCAAAAGAAGCAAAAGCTCATTGAGCAAATGCGAGCGAGCAACGAGGATATCGAAAAGATGGAAAAACAGTAAATATTCGAAGATCCAACCAGTGAAGATTCCAATTTCTTCTTTACAGATTGCTAAAAATCAACGAGCAAATCAACATTGCGCATGAGGAGCTGCGCGAGTTTGACTCGAGCGCAAATGAGAAATTGGGTAAGAAAATTGTGCATTATTATACTACATGTGTGGAAAAGTGAATAGGATTGCAAAATAAGGAAACTAGTGTGGAAGCGAAAATTGTTCAATTTGTAGCAAAGAACAACGAGAAATACCATGACCTCTTGGTAAAAGAAAAGGAGTACGACGACTTTCTCAGAGGCTTCGAAGAACTAAAGGAGGTAGGCATGACTTTCACATAATTTCGAATCCTAGCTATTATATAGCTCTTCTAGAATCTGACCGTCGAACTAGATAAATATGGAGATGAAATAGTACAAATACTGAAAAGAATTTCTTTGAATGTTGAACAGGTATGAAAGACCGTAGGGTTTTAACCGTCCTTGAAAATTAGTCGATTTAGGCAGCAGCCCTTGAACCAAAAGTTACTGCTCTCGACATGAACGAATTGCTGCAAGGTAGAGCAACACTGGAGGAGCTTCGAAATTGTGAGTGAAAAAAATACTTCGAAAAATATAGAAAAAATTTCCACTAACCTAAATTCGTACTATATTGCACTGGAGTTTAAAAATAACCTCGAACGCAAAGACAGCAAAGTCTTCACCAAAAGTCTTCATACACATTCGTCTGTTTTTTTTCCAAACCTGAAGGCAAGTAAGTAAATTTTTTGAAAATAATTCATGCCGCAAAAAACAACGGTGGCCTCAAGGTACACAACTTGTTTTATATGTTATCAAAAACTTCAGTTAATGAGATAATTAACATTTGGAAAAAAATTTCGAGGCTTGGTTGCCCCGCTTTCCTTATTTCAAAAATTCCAGTGCGGTTTGCAAAAAACTTGAAGCATTTCAGTTGAAAATTTCGAAGGATATGGTTGAGTTGGGTCCCTTTCGTACAACCGAAAATTATTTTCTTCTCTTGCTTTCCCTCCCCCCCCCCTTCTCCCCGAAAGGTTCCTCTCTACCTTACTACCAAGTACCCACATAGTATTGCTGCTTTGAGTGTGCTAAGGAAACCTTTTGGTGAAAAATTTTATTACTGCAAGACTCAGAAATGCAATGTAGCATTATTCTTGGGCAATATATATTAATTCAGTGTACATCCGGTTGCAAGAAGAGTTACAAACTCTTGGAGACATTGAAGTTCGTTTTGACAACGAAATGGAAGCAATGAGAACGAAAATGGCCGAAATGAGAGAACAAATTGAGTCCTTCACAGACGTGGATAAGATTGCGGCTGAAGCCAGAGAGGATGTTGAGGTCGAGTTTACTCAATCATTGTAACTACTGTCGGATTTTACAAATTTTCCAATAATTTTAGAAATTACAAGGACGTCACGAAGAGTTGAAAAGCATAGTACCCGTGCTGGAAGAACGTCGAGTGCGATGTGAACAACGGCTGAGAGATTTACGCGAACAACTCAACGATAACCCAGAATATGCAGCGGTAACAGCAATTTTTTCCCTCATAGAGATCAGGGCTCGGCACGAGTTGGCTTTTTAAAAGACGATGTCCCCCATGACATTCGCGAATTTTCACAAAGTCCCCGTTGATCCTAAACCGTAAACTTAAAAAAAACCCATCAAAAAACGACGTCGACTAAAACAAACTTCGCAATTTTTGTGTCTTTTCGGCCTCAAAAACGACACCCCTTTGCTTTTGTCCCAAAACCGATATCCATCTTGCTTACAAGCCACCTTGTCGAGGCATGGTAGAGATCTCAGCTAAATACAGCGATTTTTAGTATCTATCCCAACGGAAGAAATTAGACATGCTGCGAGAAGAAAATGCCAGACGGAAGGCGGAAATTGAAGAGCGAGAAAAGGAGACGAATTACGAACCGCTCAAAGCTGAGGTGAGCTTGCGTTCCGAATTTATATAAAGCGTCAAAGCAGTGGAATCCTCAAGCAATTAAAAGTTTTGGCACCCATCCAGGCAAGAATATAACAAATAGTATTGGATTTCAGTAAAAGTTTTTTACATTTCCTTTGTATCTCTTTATATGTTTTGTATCAAAAATTCTAGAAAGTTTGGTGGCAAAATTTCTTATCTGGCATAATTGAGGAAGAGACAAAGTGTTACTCATTGACGTAACTTTCACCACTGCAATGGGTTCCGTACAAAGGCAATTTTGTAAGGGCACTTCAACCTTCCTTTTTTCTTTTGGAATTTTTTTCATTTTTCATTTTTATGCTTGAACTAGGATTATGGATTTCTTGTAGTACCTGCGTTAATGCGAAGGCATGAAAGTTGGAAATATTTAAAAACGCATGTTGGAAACCTGCCAAGAAAGATTCAAATTCAAAAATCAAACTCTTTGTCCGTGACATGTACATATCAATAGGCTATACTCCTCCAGGCAGTTTGGAAATGAGCAAACTTTTTTGAAGAGAGCTATGACTTTTTCATTTAAGTACAAAACCTAGTTACTACTTGTTAGCAATGTCTCCAATCAAGTTCTTGATTAGTTTATAAAAATATATGAGCTGTGCAAGGCAGGAATTCTCTTTTTTTGGATTTTTTATCCTACAAAAAACGAATACTTCGAATGTCTGAGCGTTGGAGAATATATGGGCAGTTACAGCAAAGTCACATAAGCATATTTCTCGAAATCGCCCAGCACTTTTTGCTAAAGACTCCCGTCTTTAAAGTTTCTCGAAAGCATTTTGATTCTATAGCATTTTTACTGGAGCAGAATAGGGTGTACGTATTGTTAGCAGTCTTTTCTATCAAATATTGCCCATGAAAGTATAGTTTTGTCAGACATGAGGCGAAACAGGACTTCTTTTCATCATAGAAGGCCATTCTTGTATGTAAAGAAGTCAAAACTTTGCAGCCATTTTGGCAAATTTTGATTTGAATCAATTCATTTGCCCCCACAACTTCGGGGTAATGCAAAGATTCTTTATGGAATGAAAACTCTGTATCTTTTATTATACGTAAGGATTAAATGCAGTTTACTAAAAGTTCTTCAGCAGTGAAACTCTGCAATATGTTTGCTTAGTAAATCTATCCTTAAACAACGTTTTTATCTGTGTACACTTACATATCAAATGATACATTGCAGGTTCGAAGACTACGGGCTCTATACAATGAACGCCTCGTCGCAAAATTGAAGAGAAAATAGTAACTAGAAATTTACGCGATGCGCTTGCTGATAAGCACTATAGTTTTATGTCGTGTTTCTATGTTTTCCTTTCATCTGTTATCATAATAAAGATAATTTAGATCAGTTGATCTTCCACTTGCCAAAGTGTGAAATATCCTTAGAATGGATACAGGGCCTTTTAGGCCCTTAGAAGGCGCTATCAATGCATCGAGATTTTCAAAGAGGGAAATAATAAAAAAGTGTGATTGAAAGCTGATTAATATTTTGGCGTTATTTATTGCTTGTTTTCATCCCTCCTTCTGTTGCCAACTTCATGCTCAAAAGGGTTGAAAGAGCTTTTATGCTAGAAACAAGGTTAAAATATATCTTCTCCTCTTTTGGTGGATCCGCTATCAAACGCCGATGCTGATTTTTTTTGCATATTATTGAGACCAAAAGCCTCAAGCGTCAATTTGTTATTTTGGTTCATAAGTGTGCATTTATATCTTTGAAAAGTCCTCAGTATTTGTCCTTTCCAATCAAATCTTTTAACGTTGCTAAGAAAGAGAAAATCATCTGTTTTTTAACCGTGCTTTGGTTCAAATTTTTATTACTACTGGCATTATTATTCGTATTTATTGGCATATCACAAGATACAAGCTGATAAAGAGATGCACTTAAATTGTGATTTTTTTGGAATTTGGGTTCTCAGAAGTGCTAGAAATCCAAAAAAATCTAATTTTATTCTTGGCTATGGTTTTACGACTTGCTGTTTTGAATGAGAAGAAATTGTATTGAATGTACTTTCAGTTACGATTTTTGACTTTTAGCTCAGTTTTGTTTCAAAGAAAATTTCAAATCTGTATGATATGCCAGAGCAGTTTCTGAAGATTACAAAATCTTAGAGTATAGTTTGACAAACGGTTCCAAACATTTTTAGGTGAATTTCTAGGATTTTTTGGTGCAGGATTTATGGACCAACCTAATATCATGTACAAAAAAACTCTAATAAAAAATGTCTTTGTACAGAATAATTCAAGAATTTCTCGCAAGAATTGATTGTGAAGCACTGCAACCGTAAAAGTTTTTACTTGGGCAAGTCGTTCCGCTCTAGGTAGTGTGACTTATTGCTTCTCATGAAACTTATTTATTACCGTTAACAGTGTAAACGCTGCTATACACTTTTTTCTCAAGTTTCAGCTCAGGACAGATTTGATTTATTTTGCCTTTTGTGATAGATAACATCGTTATAGAGATACTTGAGAATTTTCACACAATCTTGCATCATTCTTGCACTACTTTTATTTTGAAAATTGTTCGCATAGCTCTAAAAGTTCAGAAACAGATCTTCGATGTGAATTCAAGGAGAGATGACATCAGAATAGACTAAAAAATATTTGCTAATTAACTTCTGTCTACGAAAATGCTGAAAAAACGTAGAATACTTGAATCACAGGCTAATTTTTTCTTAACACTTGATAGAAGGTGTCCTATGAATTTCAAATGTTCACCGAAAAATAAACAAAATGGATAGCAAAAGTTGATACGGGGTTGATTTTCAAGATATGTACACAATTATGACATATCACTAATTTTTTTATGTATTAAGTTTCTATATTATTTTTATTTTTGTTTCAAAATGGTCAGTCACGACGATGAAGTTCACCCAATTCACAATTTTCCACAAGTCACTCGCATGTTTAAAAAATAGCTGTGGAACGTGGCTCCTTTTCTTAGCTCTAAATCAATTGACAATGAGAACTTAAAATGCCTAGCAGCTGCAAAATCAGTAAAAATGCAGCTACCCATCTTAGCCGGGGACGAAAAATTACTGCGGTTGTCGTTGCTTAACATGCTCGTCCCTAATTGCCTCTAATAAAACAAATGGGATTGTTAAATACGAAGTGGGACGAAAAAGAAGAGCGAACTTTTGTTGGGAGTTTCTTGTGAAAAGTTCAAAAAAAACCAAAAAATATTACTTAGCCCAGCAGTATCAATTTCGAAATTTCCTATGTCGAGAAGTGATTCTCTCGAGCTGTTTTAGTAGACTGCCGCAATTATAGGTGTTGCAAAAATAATGTCCGTTTTGCAAATTTTCACTTTGGAAGGCTATAACTTCGTTCAGTCTCCATATTTTTGAATGCAGTCAAGACCATCTGAAACAGCAAACCTTTCTTCATTTAGCGCGCACCTGCTCGTACTGATATCTCAAACGGGAAGAAAACCATGCGTCAAAAAAGTGGAAGTTTTTCTTTTGTAAACCTCTTTTTTGAGAGCCTACAACTCCCTTTAAGTTTGTCCCTATGTCTGCTAATTAGCTTATTTTGTAGCCGTAGGCCAATAGTATAGGTGTGTATAGAAAAAACTCCAACGAAGGAGTTCTGCAAAAAGAAAAGTTAAAAATTCAAAAATGTTTACTCTTTTGAGCCTATTTGTTGTAGGCTTGTAAGTGCCTAATTATAAAAATTTGGAATTCTTCGGACACTGAATAGCTAAGTTTCTCTTCAAATAATGTAGTTAAGGTGTGCTAATTTCAAGCTTACAGAAATGGGCGAAGCTTTGGCGATTGCCTTAATTATGAGAAAATTCTGACCTATAGAAGGCCAGCAGCGAGTGTCTATTTTGACGCGTCAATTTGTCAGTCCACATTTCTCCAAAAATTTACATAAGCACGCAGTAGGTAAACAATCTTCATTTAATACAGTTGCTATGTTTTCAGAAGAATTCGTTTACTTGCTCCTAAATTGTGGTCAAGAAAGTGGAAACTATGAGATTCTGATTTTGAGTGCGGATGTGGAAAATGTTGGTGAAATTTTCACAGGTGAGGATAGCAGCTTATTTTCACCGCCATTAGAAAGTACATGAAGAGAGCTTTCCAATGATATGCAGATGCTATATCGAAAAAGAAAGTTTGGTGGGAAAAAAATTGTTTGGAATATAGGTCTAGAAAAACGGACATTATTTTTGCAACAACCTAATACCACATCCATTCCTTACAATCAGCCTCTTGAGTACGGTAGGTCCACGGTAGAGATACGGTAAATCACACACTTGAAATTCGTGTCCACACACAAATTACATTGAAGCTGTATCAACTGGACCCGTTGAAATATTGCAACCATCACTCCCTCCCCCCTCATCTCACTCGTGAAGGGCATACGCATCAAAATTTACCCGTTGTGCTCTTCTTTTTACCATGATTCGTGTGCGGTATGGGTTCATGGTCCAGATGCAATTACTGATAGTGTCCTGCATTGCCAACAACAATTGCGCGTAAAAATGCTTATGAAGTGCAAGTGTAAAGATGCCCGCTCAGCGGCCGTTTTCTTACGCGCAAACGTTGTCGGCAGTTCAAGAGCACTGCGGTGAGGTTCAACGAGCTTAAAAGCGGTCAGAGGCCCAACAAACCTTGCACTACTCGGTCAAAGCATTAAGAAGGTTTCATTTTACCACGCCATGATTACTGGGCCTTCCGATGAGACGCGGCGGCTCCTACCCGCCCGCTGCCCGCCGGGGGTCCATGATCGATGCCTAGCCGTCTGCGCGCTGCCCTAACTAGGCCCCCTCTGCGTCTCTAACCAGCCCGGGCCGCTCAGCTCGGTTTTGCCCTATGCATGTCGATCTCATTAGTCATTCTTTTCATCCCATATTTTTCCTCAGTTTCAAGCTATAATGTTTTATGCATAATCTCACATTATTTCCCTTTTTCTCTGGAGCATCCAGACCTTCGTTTTGATCAATATGCAGCTGCACTAACAGTAAGTACAAACCGAATCATCGTTTGTTCGTCTCATCTCGCTTACATCACCTATTGAACACTCATTTGGCTTGTGATCTGTGGGAAATAGTAATTTTTACAGGGACAACTCATCCAAGCTCACGAAAGCAAGAGCAGATGGAGTGATTGAAGTCCTTCGCTGTTTTCATTCTGTTTCCATTGTCAAAGGTAAGTCATTAGTCATTCATAACATTGAACGTGAACGACACTAATTTGAATTCTTATTTTTTGTTTGCTTTTATCTCTTTCTGTTTTCGTACTATCAGTAATCCGTATTTATCGCTACGGGTCATCATAATACCTAGTACTTTTAATTCTGACTTTATCAATCAACTTTATCAGTTCGCATAAAGCTTTTGCGAATCCGCCCACGTACCTATATAGTTGCCAATTTGCATTGGGGTCTCTTTCCTCATTACGTTAGAAATAAGCTGGGAGCGGTTGAATGTTGCGTTTTTTTTTTTGAAATCATAGTCTTTTACTTTGAGAAAAAGTACTGCTAAGGTATCAAGGCTGTAGAACATATAGTTTCAGCATATCCATGTCATTTCAATCAAGAGTCTAGCGCAGTTTTAAAATGTTTCTGGTATCTTACAAACAGCTTCTTTGATCATGCACGTAATCATAGTGCTGTCAAAATTAGGGTCATCTGGTGCAATCACACATTCCCGTTGGGTGTCGGTCTTGGCGGTGGAGCATGTCGGCGTCGTTTCATTTCACTCATTTGATTTTTGCTTTCTTGTCAGCGTTTTCTATAGTTCTCTGGTCTTAATGGATTAGTAGAGAGATACGGGGAACACATCTTGTCATTCTTCCCCAACTAACTGCAGTAATTGCACTACAAGAGAACTTGTTGTTCTTTTTTGCTCGTACTTTGTAGCCTTTCATGTCTGAGGAAGCCGAATGTCACTCGCTTCATCGGACATGAAAGTAGTGCATTTGGACCAAGTGTCACCATTGATAATGCGACTATATCCAACAATTCCGAGAATATCTTTCGCTTTCCAGTCTTTTCATCTAACATTATTTTCCAATGTTTGTTCATTTGGTGCTTACATATCTGGATATTATTGACTTTTACATAATACAGGGTGTCCAAAAAAAAAGTATCGAACGTTTGATCGTTAATATCTCTCTTTCCAAGAAGTCTTTTGTCTTGCTTCAAGTACCGTTTTGTAGAGCTTCTTCAACTTAGATTCGCGCTATAGAACGAATCACCCATCACTCTTCATTACTGTAGGATTACGGTAGAAACTTGAAACATATGGTGCCAACGTGGAAAAAGCTGCCCTTTCAAAATTTTTAAAAAAAATGTGAAAACTTGTGTAATAGGGTTTTTATGGACGCTGAGTTTAATACTCAACTATTCACGAGATTACGAAGCCTTCTAAACGAAGTAACCGCACTTTTTAGGAACATTGAAAAAATGGCCGCTACCTCTTACCTGGCATAACTCTTCAATAAAGCATCATAATAGGTTGGGAGCTTTACAGCTATAATCAGCAACTCTAATTAGCCTAGTGTTAAAGTTTTGAGGCTGTTTTGTTTCCTTTCTGAGGGAAAAGATGGCCTTTCATTGCTTAAAACCCTCTTTGAAGTTTCTACCGTAATCCTACAGTAATGAAGAGAAATGAGTGAACCGTTCTATAATGCAAATCTAAGTTGAAGCCAGCTCTACAGATTGGTACTTGAAGCGAGGGAAAAGACTTCTTCAGAAGAGAGATATTAACGATCAAACGTTCGATACATTTTTTGGGACACCCTGTATAGGTGAGGGTAATCAATATTTTAAGTAAGATGAAGTGGTTTCCCAAATCTACATGTCACTCTGACAGTACCTATGTGCATTATTTACACAGATTGCTCCACAACTCAACACTCGCTGAAGTATCGGAAATGGGTGATAAGGGTGATCGTACTCTGACACTCTTGCACTTGCGGAAAACGTTCAGTGAATATATGCGAATACCTCTCTCAGGATCTCGAGATGTTGACCCAAACCGTTTATTGCCATTATTTACAAAGGTTCGTGATTTGAATGTTTTCTTTTCATTTTTTTTCTATTCCGTGTTAACTTTTACATTTCCTGTGTTTGATGCCTTCGCTTATTTTGTTGTCTATTAGCTTTATAACTTATTGCAAGTGTCTGCCTCTTCTAGGTCATGGCCATGTTCACGCCAGCCGAGTTGAAAGCGGAGTTTAAAGAAATTCTGAACTTCACTACGTTTCTCTGCAGTGTTTTAGTGAGAGAAGTTAGACAGAGGTGCGTAATGTTTGTTTTCATAGCTGATATATTCGCAGCATTTACAGGGCGGCCAGTCATGGTACTGTCGAAGCGGCATCTAGCATTGTTGATTATCTACAGCCGTCTTCTTCCCAAAGAGGATGGCTTCTTTTGAACTCTATATATTTCTTGATTTCTACGTGAGTTCAATTATGGTCTTGCATTAACTCAAATTTCATTCTCTGACGTTTTTATCTCAATGATTTGTTATGAAAAAAAATTATGACCCTTCTTACAGTGAGGACGAGGCTATAATAAACGCCGTATGCAAGGTGTCGCTTCCCAGTACCCTGGTGAAAACTATCTATTTATTCTATGATCTTCCTGATGATGATGAACATATGGAACCAAGGCTCAAACTCAATGAACTACTATCATGCATGTTGGATAGGTTGTGCTCTTACAAGTGGGTTTCCTGGAGCAATATTTATCTCTGTATTTCGTTAACATCGACATTTTTACGTTTATATTAACAATATAGACATTTTGAATATTTGATTAGCCGAAAATTCGCTGTGTTCACAGTTTTTTTTTCTGTTCCTTCTCTTGGTATGGTGCTTCTTTTCCTTCTTTTCTCAGAGAAAGATTTTCACCTCCGAAAAAGTCTGTTGGGAAGAAATGTTTCAAAAAGTCTGTTGGAAGGGTAAGGGTCCTGCCCCAAAGTCTTCTTGTAGAGATAACTGATAGTTGAAGAACACAAAAGACGTGAAGTCGTATTCATAGCCCCAAAATCTACCACAAGAAATTCTTTTTTTTTTGTTCATAGCTCGTCCTTTAATAACGTGCGCTCAAAATTTGTTGATTAGATAACTGATTAGGAAACGACCATAGGTTGCCGGCAACTGTGTCTGAGGTTGCCGGCGTTGCCGGGATCAGAGATAGCTTAGAGTGTGCGCAAGTAGAGACTAATATGAGGTCCAACGGCCGGCAACTCCGACACAGTTGCCGGAACCTTTGGCCGTTTCTTAAAAAGCCAAAATATGCAAAGGCTGTCTAAGGAAGTTGTCCTCAACAAATTGTTTCAGACATGTCAGTGAAGAACTTGCCAGGAAAGATGATCTTTTGCTGCTTTTTGTTGGCTCATCATCGTCCTTGCCTTCTCACAATGTCCAGTGGCGGAAGACTACATCTCGGGCGCTGGAAGCTTTGTCTGTCAAAGTAAGTTCTCTCGTTATCCCAGTTATGCTTTTTATATGGTTCATAATTTGCCTCTCCTTACCGTTCCTAATCATGATAGCTTATAACCGTGTTTACGCCACGTTTTGCCTTTTCCGTAAAAAAAAAACTCGACCAACAAGAGCCTCAAGTTAAGCTTATTTTGGCTAATCAAATATGCTATTTTTGGATTTTTCAGCCCACCCGTAAAAGGCGATATATTATTTCAAATGTCAGACATCTGTATATAGTTTACTAATGCCATATCTTCTTGTCTTTTAGAGTCTCACTCCGGCTGTGATCAAGTACATACATACCAAGGAATGCATCAAAACGTTTTTGTCGAATCTGAAGTCACCGAAACTTCAACCGCAGGTATAATTATGAAGTTTTTTTTCGCCGCCGCTTATAATTTTATTTTTTATGATTTGCTTTGAAGCCTTGTTAATGAATTGTCTGATTTACCGGATTATTTTTATGCTGCCCATTTGTGGAAATTGTTTTGTGAATCGTAGCTTTTGCAAAATGAACTAGATGTTCAGCTGAAAGTTGGTCTGTAATTAATCTTTTCCAGGAAGCGGCGGAAATGATTATATCTTTGTTATGCGTACTGAAGGATTCATCGAGGCAAACAAGTCAGCTAATAGATGACTTCAGTCAGTCGAATGGTTATCTGGCTATTAAGGATTTTGTGCTGAAGTAAGAGCTCTTTGTGACTTTTTATCCTGTTGATCCACTAGTTAAGAACGTTACCGATACATTTTGTTATACGTGCACCGATTGTTCTAACATAAGTTGATTTTTTTCTGCAGGAATGAAAACAGCGAAGAAATTGTCCGCAACATACTTCTGATGCTGATTACCGTGATGACTAATGGGCCGTTGGAGATCAAACCACAGGTTTGCAAATTCTTGTTGCCTATCATTTTGTCATACATGTACTTTGGTTCCCAGCACTCCTCCGGTCTTGTACAACTTCCAACATTTCATCTGCCAATTCCCACTGGTAATGGATTATCCGTTCGGAATACTCAAGCCTTCGGACTCGTTTATAAAATCTTTCTGGAGGTGAGAAGACTGGCACTTTGAGTTTTTATGGTGATAGACCGTCCTATGTGATTTTCTTTATAGAGCCATAACCCCAATGTATGTGCTACAGCCGTAGATATCGTCCACTCAGTCTATACCTGTGATCCGGCCAATTACTTCATTCTGGACAGGGAGTATCCGTTGGCATTATTTATTGAACAACTAGACAGGAAAGATGAAGTTGCGAGGGTTAGTTTTTACTGTTTATTCCTTTTGTTTCATACTATTCTGGCAGTTCAGGCAAAAATCATCGAACTTGTGGAACATTGCGTATTTCATTTGAACTACATACCATGCAAAGAACTAATTGGTATATGTGTGCAAATGAAAACTGAGCTGGCCTCTGGTCATGAAGATATCTGCATAGCTGCTGTGCAGGCAGCGTTTCGGCTGCTTACGGTGGATTCGGTAATGAAGGTGGGTTACTTTTATTCTTCGCATACATAAGGAATTTTTTTGGTCTTCTTTACTTTTCCTTTTTACGTTATCAAGTTCCATGATGAATTTCACTTCTAGGATGCCTTTCGTGAAGTTGGTCTACTAGACACGTTATGCTATATTATCAACAATCTGTTCGCGCAGTATAAACGTGAGACTTTCAAGTTCTTTTCCAAAATCATAGCAAAAATTGCCTTAAGATATCTGGCCAATCATCTGTTTTTAATTGACTATTTGTAAGCAACTATGTTTCTATTTCAGAGCGAAATTTGACTGAAAACGAGAAGAAATTAGCTTTACTGGCCACGGATTTACTGACTGTCATAATCAAAGGAAATTTGGAGAACGCTCGTTAGTGCTTTTTATGCTCATTGTTAATCGACTGTGCTAGTTTCTTAAGCATTTAACAAAAATTCTAGGAATGTTCTCGGATTGCTTTGGTGCTCGAACCTTGCTAAGCGTGCTGACTGTTGTAACAGGAGAATGGCGAAGCAGCAGTTTGCAGTTGCTGAAGCAGCTTCTTTTGCTGGCGTCCACCGATCAGTACATAGCTGGTGTCATCCAGGTGATTGCTTGTTTCTGAGCTACTAGAATTCCTGAAAAATTGAAATTCAGGTCATCAGTCAAGTACCTCCACAGCAACAGCTGGAGTTCAATGTTGATCTTTTAAAGGTTTGTTTCGTACCCGCATAATCCCCGCTTAGTGTGAGTTTTGCAGACGGTGCTTGGTGTATTACGAGAAAGTCATAAAGTTCGAGTGCAGTTTCGCAAGACGGGTGGATATTTAGGCCTTATAACAATGTTACTTGGGCTAGAAGGTGCTTTCTCACGAATCGAAGGTGATGGAGGTACTGCCTAATTGTTTACAATTTTGTTATTTTTATGTCTTTTCTACCACTTTAGCAATATTGATCGGGTACGTTAGTATTTTTAGGGTCAGTTCCGGCTGAAGCAGCTGAGCTGCTCGACTTCATCCACCTCATTTTCAAAGTATTGACGATTAGCATGCGGTTTGAGCCATCCAATGCCAAGTACTTTTCTGTAGAGGTATTATTGTTCTGCATTTTCACATGTATTCGAAAACATGATCGCTGTTAAGGTGAGCTGGGACAGTATCACGACCGTACTCCGTCTGACGGGGGCATTTGGCGAAAGTACTGTAGTGGATGTCTCTCAACCAGAATGGAAGTTACAGGTTTGCGCGTTATTTTGATTGCGCACTTTGAGCTGTTTGGAGCAGTTTCTTGTCGGCTCGGTCTCATTCAGTCGCTTATAGGGGTCTGATCTAAAAAATGAGCTTGCTGCTTGCCATTCTGTGTTCAAAATGGACGAAGACATCCAAGCTGGGTCTGCTGGACTCTATTCAATTCATTTTTGCGTGTATTTCCATTCGCTTCAGATCGCTCCCACCTGGTATGCCTCCGTCTATCTTCTTTGCAAGCTATATCATTCGGCTGCTCTTCAACATGGCTTTGGATAACTATGAGAAGTTTGTCTATGCTTGCTGAATGTGCTTTGTTCACGAACAAATGAATATTTCTTTTAGAATGTCTTCGGATGTGACATGGTCGTCATCGGAAGGATCATTGGAGGAGTGCATCGTCTCGTGGACATCGTCAGTACTGGTAAATTTTAACGTTGTTTTTCTGATTCAATTCATTTGTTTCTCTCATTTGACTGTTTTTTAAAATTTTATTATATGTTGCTTCAGGTATAACAATTTTATCATCCCTATTCAGGTTCACCCTGGTGCAGTGCAGTCGATCCTTTCTCTGTTACCGTCCATCTATTCGGAAAATGTCAAATGGTTGGTTAGTGCGCAGTATTATTGCGGGCTACTCCTCAAAGCTCTCCTCAAACCTGAACGAAATCAGCAGCTTATGTGTCAGGTGACTTCAAAATACTAGTGACCTGTTTTTTCTATCCTAAATCCTATCATAGGTGGATATGCCGAAGCACTTGCTACAAATTGCATCAAAACTATTTCTGTGCGAGAACCATATCCTACTGCATCCTTTTTACTATGTGTTAGAAAGGTTGTCGTACCAGTCGATGCAGCCATGTCAGCTTAGGTAAAGATTATGACATCAAAATAGATTTTCACTATATGTGCCACTCCTCCCGTGATGAAATATTTATACGATCTAGGCATTTCTTGCGTCTTGACCTACCGTTATGCTGTCGTAACCTTGACGAGACAGAAAATGAAGAACCGATAAGAGCAAATGAAGGTGGTCCTGTACCATTACAAAGGTAAATATAGTTTTGATGCCTATTTTCCTTTGACTAATGTTTGTGCATGTGTCCATTTCAAATTCTTTGAGGAGTTGTTTTTCCCAACATGTCAATAAATCAGCTAAGCTCAAATACCTTATAATCAGGGTGAAGGCATTGGTATCAATGATGACTCCGCGAGATCAGCGTCTCTCACATGCCCCATCATTCGTTGAAACTGACTTGGCTATGGAAGGATTTGGATGCATGTTTATCCCATCTCTGGCACCGCTCTTCTCTGCAACTAGAAGTGAGAGAGTGTTTCCGCCGCTCAATGGGATAACATTGTCTACGTGAGTACTAGTAATCTAGTCTCCCCTTTCTTTTCATGCTTTATTAAAAATGTTGTTGTAGGTGGCTGTATATTGACACATTCTCGGACAAGAAACTTGATGCCCATCCGCTGAGACTACTGACCATAACAAGAACAGTGACATGGCAAGATGAGCGGCGAAAGCAGGTTAGGCTTGAGATTATTGATACAGTATCTCGTTTGGCTCTAATAATTTTTTGCGACCATGCAGGGTTATTCATGGTTTGAAAGTTGTTGTTGGAGTGCTTTGTCGATCGTCTGCTTCTTTTTTTCAAAATTTTCCTATTCACTGCTTAATTACTGAAAAGCTATCAATTATTAGACTATTCTTATAGGGGCCATGCCATCTGGCCTGCTTGACTATTCAAGTAAGCCCCATCGATAGAAGTTTGCTGATATCTACAGATGAGCATGAAAATCCTGGAGGTGATTTGGAAAAAGAGGCGAAAATACCTTCTGAAAAGGTGAGAACTCTACATTGTTATGTAAATTTCGGTTTGATTTCGATTTGACTTTTTTGAATCTCATTTTGGTTTCGATTTTCTGCATGCGCTTTCGTTACAAAATATGTTTAGTCTATCCGAGTAGCCATGGCTGACATACTTCGACCCATGGAATGGGTTCATCTTTGCGTGATCTTGTCGCGATCTGTGTTGAAACCTAGTCAGGTTGGTTATTCTTATCTTACAAAACCTATTCGACTTATTAAATTCCTTGCTTCAGGCTAGTGTATACTTAAATGGTCGACTGGTAACCACACAGAAGCTGCAATACATTGTGCAAACCGCCGGTGGCGCAGCAACCCAGTTGGCCCAGACTCACGTTGTGAACGCTATGATAGGGACTTTACCGATCATGAGAAGACCTAGTCGATTGAGGTTGGTATTCGTTTTTCAAAAATGCTGCTTACCTGAATTCCTTTAGGTATCGCCTTGCATCCACTTTCCTTATAGAGGAACCATTGACACCAGAAGCAGTGCGTGCTATTTACGATCTACAGCCGCATTATGTCGGGAGCCTGCAAGCGCTCGGACCTGAAAGGACATCTTTAGTGCAGGAGGAGAAGGTAGGAGATAGTGCTCATACGGAAAACAGACATTAATGGTGATTTTCAGATTGTTTTTGCCCTAAATGGAATGGCTACCAGCGAAATGACGCTAGCTAAGATACGCACTGTTTACAACAAACTGGATGCGGAGATATTGGCACCTCACGTAAGCACTATAGAGATTCTTTTCAGATTTTGTTTGCGTTCTTATGTGACAGTACTCAGTTCCCTAATTATTTAAATGCCCATATCATGATGTTTATTTGTTCAGTTGGGTATCTCATCGAGTGACAACAGCACGCCACTTAGGATAATGCTGAATACGGTCGCACATGCTCCCGGTGCTGGAAGATCTTTCGGTGCTGTTATTATAGGGTGAGTCACCAACTTCCTTGTAATGGAATGCTTCCATGTATGAGTTTGGATCTTTTCAGATATCTGGGCATGCGCACATTTATCCCTAGACCGGTGCCTCGGCTTCTCGATTCTATGGGTGGTTTTGCTTGTCTTTATGGCTTAGTGGCCATGGCCACAGACTCAGAAGGATTGTATGCAAGTTTGAAGGCGGTAGTATCAGCAGTGAGGTCAAACAGCAACCTGCAGGCTACTCTTCATGCTAATAGAGCTTATCAGGTAAGCCATAGTCTTTTCCTTAGTATATCATATAACCCTTTTTTACTTTATTAGACCCTGGCTGTGCTGCTGGAAGACAAAGCGAACCTGCTGAATTCTCATATCATGCATATGATCTTCAGTATGGCTGGAACGTTGGACACGGCCAGGGAAGTGGCCTTAATTCCCAATGCACAGGTGAAATAATCGCTGCTTCCGGTTGGAATAGTTACTCAGCCAAGATTTATAGGCATTTGAAGATCTTTTATGTGATTTGGACGTGTGGGCAAGCGCTCCCGACGAGCAGCACAGAATGCTTTACGAACATTTCTATGAGCTTATCACAGAGTGGGTTTGACAGACTACGCATGTTCGCTTAGCCACATTTATATCTGATTTATAGTCATCAACGTGAAAATTTGGTCATTGTACGCCGGTCACCGCTGTTGTCTAGAGTGCTGTTCGTTCTTTTTGATCGGCCGCACTTATTGTGGGCCACGAACGAAATTGTCTTCAACCTGCTTTCGGCGATTGTTCAGCCTCAGTCCGATAATCGAAGCATGCTGAAATTGGGACAAGCTATAGCCGCTACTTTACCTACCACGTAAATTGATTTGACGAGATTTTGTTGATTTGCTTGTATTTTTACGACTTTGGACAAACATTTCTCTGTTTTTTACGAAGTAATCTTCTTTATTTGTTTTGATTGTCATTAGACCGCTTTTTTACAATCTGTGAGTATAATATGTTTAGAGCGGAGGATCTTGCAGTGGAGTCGAAGCTGCCGTTCCATATCTCAGAGTTGCAAATCCAGCTGATTGCAAATCAAAAACCACATGAAGGTAAGATTTTTGAAGGTACAGAGAATGTTACAAGGAAGCCAGTCCCTTAATAACTTCCTCATTGTGGGCCTTATGCAGTCTCATATTTCCATGGAGACTATGAAATAGGATATATTGCCAGCAGAGAATACATGCCATGAGAATTACTGCGACTCGAGTTTTCCTCAAATACTTATCAAGTCAAAACAAGGATATGAAGAAGTTTTGTCGTTAATACACGGCTCCCTGGGAGCAAAGGAATCTTTCCAAAGACTGCGCACGGCGTATAATGCTTATGTCTGCAGGAAGTCATATTTCTTTCAGGCAAACCTAGTGTTTTGTACAATGTCTATGTAAGAAACCGTCTGCTGAACATGGTTGCAAATTTCCTATCTCATTCTAGTCCACAACTGAATCAACAGTAGGTTTTTTCCGTATTTCTTTTTTTTGCAGAAAAAATTGCTTGTTGCAGCATGGCAGATCAGATAGTGCGGGTTCTGGGCTTTGATTGGATTTATTGTCTTCTGTCCCCTGAAATCCATTCGGGGACAGTATTCTTGGCTCTGCGGATCCTTCTTGCATTGTTGGCACATCCTCAATTACTCGTAAAGTTCCGTGAAGGAACTGCGAATGGTGGCTGGCTCACAGATGCAGATTCTGTAGTGAGGAACAGGGCGGCCGTAAGTTTTCTGACTTGTACTGCTTGTCGGGAGGGTTACCTTTCTACTTGCTTGAGACAATGGAAATCCTGAGTTTTAAGTTCTTTTTTCAAAAGATCTCTCTCAGAACACAGAAGTCATGAGTTTGGTTTTCATTTCGTCTTTTTTTTAATGTGAGCGTAGACCATCGCAGACCAGTGTAAAGCCCATCTCCACTACTTCTGTTTAGGTTGTGCTTGGCTTTTCTGTTTCTGCCCATGGCGGTTCGGTAGGCAGTAAAATTGATATTAATCCGGAGCTGCAAAACTGCGCAGGTTTCGCTGCTCTGGAACATCTCATGGCTGCTCACGCCGATAAGCCTCACGCTTATCTAGCCATGCTTGCTTTGTTAGTTGGACAGGTAGGTCGTCTTGAGGTTATCAGATGTCACACATTTTATCTGAATTTCTCTAGCCCGTAAAAGATCTTCGATTTTGTGAAAGTTTCAACGTGGATCAGATCTGGACACATGTTTTTGGCTTGTCTCTGAACAGGTGGGTACGATAGCTTTTGCAACTCTAACAGTTGAGTATCCTTGCAGCTCTGTCTATGAGGCCATAAGATCATCTGAATTCTGCTACGATGCACTAATTCCTCTCTTGGCCATGGTTAGGGCATGCATTTTCTCTGGAAGCGATGTGAGTCTTTTCTCTTGTTCTAGTTCTACTTTGTTATAATTCTTTTTATTATTTCATTTATGTTTTTTCTTTTTCCTCTCAAGTTCGTCAATTTTCTTCGAGTTGCGAGTTCACGACATATTACAATTTATCTTCTAATTTATCTAGCTTTTGTTTACACTTTCTTCAAAGCTATCGCAGTCTTTCACTTCAATATTAATGAAATTGCAGGCCCTTCAAGGATGGCACGTTGATTATCCATCTGCAGTAATACAAATGATCACATTTTTGTACCAGAATTCTCCAAATTTCTTCTCTGTAGCCCACTCAGAGGAATTTGTGCTTGCAATGTTTTCATCTCTCATTCAGGTACGTAAAGCTGTAACTTGCTAGATCTTTACCTTTTAATCTGTTGATTCTCAGGACACTAATGCGATGGGAGTGCGATCTGAGGCAGCTGATAGAAATTTAGTTGGCACCCCAGATCCAGAAAAAGTACAAGCAGGTATGTTTGTTTATATGTGGTCTGTTTGTTGAGGGTTTACAGCTTACTTTTATTCTCTCGTCGATTTTGGATTTCTTTTGATTTCTCAAATTGTGAGGGACTAGCAAGATGGTGTTCACAACACTTTAGACTTTTTTTGACTTATCCCAGAGCTGTGTCTATATAAATACCGTAATCCCATGTTCAAGAACTGTATCCTGTCACGCTAATGCTTGTGCAATTCATCATCGTAAAATGTCTCATTGTGACTCTAAGCTGAATTTATAGTTCTTTGCACAGTATATAACTTTTCAGTGCTTTCACTTCCAAGTGTGAAAGCCGTACTGGACTTTTTGAAGAAACTTTTCTGTGATGACTTCCAAGTGGCAGCTGGTGGACATGCTGACAGTTTGATAGATGTAATCACAGAGGTTTGTCACATACTTGGAAAATTGTTGTCTTCATTTATACAATGCTTCAAGAGTATCGCAGAGAATGGCTACACGAGAAAGTTTCAAGTCCACGTGCTCACAGCTCTTGTCCATGGCGTAGGTTTTTTTTGTGTTTTTGGTATCACTCTCTACCTCGACTTATTTTACATGTTTAGGTCTTTGACCATTTGATAAGTACAGATTTGCTAGTTTCGTCATCCTTACCACCAAATGCTCCACCGCAGTCATTATCTCAAGTCGGTGGATAGCTGTTTATTTTGTCACTGTTTCTTTTCTGTTTCTCATGGTGCTCTGTTCCAGGTTGGTGTCAACATCTCTTACATGGCTATGCGAGCAGTGGACTGTCTTTGGAATGGGCTGCTGGTTGGAGAGTCTCTGCGGTTACTCAAACTGCTTTACAGCGTTTACGGCATTGCCAGTAGGAAGGAGAATAAGGTTTGTGTCTGCTATTAGCTTTATCTAGTTTGTCACAATATCTATTTAAGGAGATCAATCTGGACAGCTTGACGTCATCAATCATGCGATGTGTGCTTTACATCTTGAGCAGACCGATTGAAAATGTACAGAGTGAGTATTTCTTGCTGTTTTGGTGGTGGGTGAGTGATGGTAGAATTAGGAGGTCATAGAATTTTTCTAGAGGGATTGCGGCAGGAGTTTTTATTAGAAGTGATTGACAATGATTACTTATTCTAAAAGCCATATTGAAACTCTAGCTTTCCAGGTCTTTTGCCAAATTTTGCAGAGTCAGCGAATTCTTTTACTGTTTTTCAGTTCAAATGTCTGTTTTGGACACGCTGTCCTCGGTGGTGACGAAGCGATATATCTTCCTTTCATCTAATGAAAGCTGGTTCTTCACTTCACTCACACATCTGATTTTCATGCTTAGCGTCACGCCAGATATAATGCAGCAAGAGGGAGCACCACTGGAGAAAGCAAGCGCACAAGTGAGTTTCCCTGTCGGCACCAAATTTGGATCCTTCTTGAGGGATTATCTTCTTATCAGGTTGCTGTATGTGCATCAAGAGTCTGGACCGATGTGATCTCTTCCAAAAAAGCGCTGCTTGAGGAATCCTTCCGAAAGCCAACAGTCTGGTGAGATTTCTTTTTTTCATGAATTCTACAGTAATAGCATTTTTTCCAGTGAGCTTAACGCTGCAAGAGCTTTACTGGCGAATGTAGCTGGGCAACATTGGCATTTGTTTGTTGACAGTCAGCTATCTGGACATTGTCAAAACCACACGATTTCAAGAGACATACAAACTCAGATAAGCTCGGTATGTCTTTTCAATGTATCTGCGTTAACTAATTCACTCTGCAAAAATCTCTTATTCATTTAGAAAATTACACGAGTTGCATCAGGTTTGAGTAAACTGGCAAGTAAGAAATCACTGACTTCGCATGGAAGCATCAGTACAGTCTTACCATGGAAGAATGTCAGCGTAGACAAGGAGGTAGGATCAGCCTGGATAAAGATCCTTGGATAAAGGAAATGAAAATTCAGGTTATTCATATGTGGCTTCGAGTGCACGTAAGTCTTGTCAAGGAGTTGGTCACAGCACAAGCGACACGATATCATGAATGGCATGCTCATGCTAAGAAATGGTCGTTACATGAATGGCATCAGTTGGAAGCAGAGCTTACCCGAGAAAGGGGAATATGGGGCCCAGAAAAAGTAGGCAGCACTTTTGAAATATCATATGTCTGGAGTGAAGCCCTCTTATTCTGTAGGCATCATGCCTTGACAAATACAAACTGGATACCACAGAAGGACCATCTCGTACCCGTCGAAAAATGATTCCCAATCGATTTTTCTACCACACATTCCCGTATAGGCCTCATCTGGATGAACCTGGAGCTGTAAGTCCATTTATGTGAACCCTATTCGGAAGGTTTATCCATTTATTAGTTGTTTTTTTTTTGATTTTACATTTTCAGTTTTACTTGGTGGCTGTAATATAGACTCAACAGGGTCTGATAGTTGATTAAGAGTTCCACTTTTAGAAGTCTATGAGAGCCAAGGTTGCCATATCCCGTGATAGCGAGCTGTACTTCAACGCTTGCCGCAAGCGACGTGGAAGAATCATGGATACCCGAATAATTGATTATTCTGCCACCATCACTACCCCTTCAGAAGAGAAGCCGGCATTTACATTCTGTGATCTGGCCCGTGAGTTCATCTTTTCTTGCATCGAAGTTCGAACTCATTTGTGCGCGTTTTGTACCGAACATTGATGGAACCATGCGTGTTAGCGACGGAAAGTACTGTGTACATTTTTGAGAGAAAAAGTGCAATTTTAGAGATCAACACGTCACTGATCCGACGATTATCCGCTCGACCGCAGTTAGAGGCACCACATCAGCCTGCCGTAAACGACGGCAACGGTAAAGAAAACGAAAATGGAGAGGAAAATGGGACCAAGGTAAATCTTGTTCTTTAATGTCCTCCGCTCATATGGCATTTTTAAGGAACCATCGGTGGAGCTAGAAGACGACCAGCAAGATGAGTCTTCTGCCAGCGAAAAGCCTATGTCAGAGAGCCGCGAGGAAGTCAAGGAAGAAGAGAAGAAAGATAATGAAATGAAGAAAAAGAAAGGTCCCGATAATCAAACGTTATTACGGTTGCTAGAACAAGGCGAGCAGTTGCATAGCATGTTCCGATGTGCGCGGATACAGGTACAACTCAGAAGTTATCATTCTTTGCTGCCCTTGAATATTGAATTTACAGGGGCTCGAGACTTCTGAAGGTCTGCTGTTGTTTGGACGAGAACATTACTATGTGGTTGATGGCTTTACACTCTTGAAAACGAGGGAGATTAGGGATTTGGACTTTTTGAGTCAAGAGTGAGTCATGCTTGAGTTGAATGTCTATAAATCAGCGAGAAGCTTGCAGACTCCATGACCCCATTGTACCATACACTGCTACTGGAGCAACGCATCCACCCAGATCATCAAGGCTGTGTAGCAAATTCAGCTACGAAGATATCAGAGAGGTCCACAAAAGAAGGTTAGCCATACTACTATGCATAATTTGCTTGATGAGAATGAAAAGGTGCTTACGTGTGTCATAAAAACGTGCTAGTCACTTTTTTATACTCGCAAATAAAATGATTTCTAGGGTTTTCTCAAAATCCACTAGTGCTGTAAGAAAACATGTTCGGGGCGCCCGTTTCTGAAATTTCGGGGTTATGAGGCCGCAAAAATTTCTAGAAGTGTCCAAAAAGTTTTCGGAGTGCGTTAACGTCACGCACCTTCATTCGCAAATTTTGTCGTCCCCCCCCCCCCCACTCCTCCCCTCCGAACGGAAATCTTTGGGACCGTTACTGGTGGGCAGTCATTTACGAATAAGTCTAGTGTAGATTACTCCAGGTATCTCCTCCAACCAATCGCCATCGAAGTGTTCAGCGCTGATGGAAGGAATTACTTGCTTGCGTTTCCAAAGAAGATGAGAGACCGTGTTTACGAAAAGTTTGTCTCACAGATTATTTAAGAAGGTAAGTCAAATTCATGACTCCTTTTCAGACTGCTTTCGATGGCCAAAGGACTCACTTCTGGTGGTACTGATTCTGTTGGAGGTCAGAAAGCAAACATGGCTATCGAGCAAAGTGGCAGAGCGTCGTTGATAAATTCCATCATTGGGCAACAATCTGTAACACAACGTTGGTTGAATGGACAAATTACCAACTTTCAGTATTTGATGCATTTGAACACGTTGGCTGGAAGGTATTCGTGATCTCAAGACTAAGCTTGAATCAAAAATCTTTGGAATGATTGCAGATCCTATAACGATCTGTCACAATATCCAGTCCTACCGTGGGTGCTTGCTGACTATACCTCGTCCACACTGGACTTCACTAATCCGATGACTTTTCGGGATTTATCAAAGCCAATGGGAGCGCAACATCCACAGAGGCTAGAGCAGTTCCTGAAAAGGTAAACAGATCAAATTTGTTGGAAGGGGGAACTCATTAGAAGGTTTTTAGATATCGTGAATGGGATGATCCTACTGGTGAAACACCGCCTTACATGTATGGAACACATTATTCATCAGCTATGATTGTTGTGTCATATTTGGTTCGATTAGAACCATTCACTCAACAGTTCCTTAGTCTTCAGGTCGGCATAGATTTTTACCATGTATATTTAGAATACCAAAAATTCCGGATTATAGGGTGGTCACTTCGACTTAGCAGACCGAATGTTTCATAGTATAGGCGACGCATGGACTAGTGCCAGCAGGAATAATATGGCCGACGTGAAGGAGTTGATCCCGGAATTCTTCGTGCTTCCCGAGCTATTGCTGGTATGTAAAATGAGGGTTTCGAGCTTTAATTCTCCTCGCTTTTGATTGTTTACCTCGGTCGCTGACCTCAACGTTCATATTATCATAGTTCAATGTCAGACGGCAAGAGATTTGAATTTTTCCAGAATAGAAATAGATTCGACCTCGGTGTCAAGCAAAATGGAGTCGCTTTAGATGATGTGGTCCTTCCTCCCTGGGCACGTGGGGACGCAAGAGAGTTTGTTAGGTCTGTTTCAGTATTTTCGTACGCACAATTTTCTGGAAGGAGGAAGTTGCCATAGCAGTGAAATCTCATATTAGGTCGAAAACTTTCCAGATTGCATCGGCAAGCCCTTGAATGTGATTATGTGTCATCTCATCTCCACGAATGGATCGATCTTGTGTTTGGCTACAAACAAAATGGAGAGGAAGCTGTTAAGGTGCTTTTTTAATACATTTTAACCTTCATGCTTGACTTCTGAAAATTATTTTAGGCTAATAATCTCTTCCATCATTTGTTCTACGAAGGTAGCGTGGATTTCGAGTCGATCGTCGATCCACTTACCCGAAATGCAACCATTGGTGAGTTTTAATACTGACGAGGGGGAGATCGGAGGCTTATTATCATTATCGAGATCTTTCCGACATGTTTGTCTTTTGTGTATTTTTCCACCTTAAGGTTTTGTGAACAACTTCGGTCAAATCCCAACCCAACTCTTCAAGAAGCCCCATCCACAGAAGAAGGTAAGTTAGTGTTCCCTCTGGAATCGACTCATGGTGTCATCAGTTTTAGGTAAGTCCAGTAGATGGCTTCTCAAACACACCTGGTGTAACAACGCAGCGACTGTTCTACCACTGTCTTCACTCTTTGAAACCGCCTCAGAGCCCCATAAAAGGTAAGAATTTTTTTTTGCCGATTATCGCAAATGACTGTTGCTGCTTCAGAATTGCGTTCGGCTGTGGGTTCAATATACCAAAGCGAGCGAACTGGTCTAGTTGTGTTGGAGCAGAATAAAGTTTTGATAGGAACAAACAAATACGTCGCTTGGGGCTTCCCGGATCGATCATTACGTATGGGACAGATAGATTCGGACAAGGTGAATACTCTTTCTTCTCATACATTGCTTGACTGTATTATGCCTGTGTAACTGATTTATTGGGTAGGGCGAAACTTGAACTTTGTTGTTGTATCTGATAGAGCTGAATTTTAGTCCATATGCATTCATGAAATGTGTGATGCGGATGAACTGACATGTGTAGCCAGCGGTGATGAACGAACTCTTTTCTGTGGAAGCAGCACTGGTTGTGTGAGGTTCGTGAACTTCATGACTGTTACTAGCAAAAGCTGACACCTATTCTGAGCTGCAAGTTTTCAGTGTATGGACGCTATGCCGGAAGCCAGTTTCTTTGAAGAGAAGAAAATTATTAGACGGACATTCCGATGCTGTGACTTGCCTTGTAAGTTGTTTTGTTCAGTAGCACATATCGCAAATTTTTTTTCCATTTTTGTAGGTTGTCTGTTCTGCTCATGCATTCGTAGTATCCGCGAGTAGAGATTGTTCGGTCATTTTATGGCATCAGTCTGAACTTTACCTAATTCGGCAGCTCCCATTACATCCTAGTCCTGTTTCAGCTGTTGCAGTGAATGATACAACGGTACTTTCATATATCCTAAATTCCTAAACCCGGTTATATATAGCTTTGGATAGGGTGACATCGCAACGTCTTGCTCAACGTTGCTACATCTGTGGTCGATCAATGGTGATCTTTTGGCCGTGGTAAACACTTGCGACTCTAATCTTGTTATGGATCCATCGCAGATGATCCTTAGCTTGACGTTTAGTACGGTAGGTCTTGTTAATTTCGTATTTTGCTCCGAATGTTGAGTTCTCTTCGCTTTCGAAACATTTGCTTCTAGTTGAATGAGTGGGATACTGATAATGTGGTAGTGTGTGGAACCAGTGATGGAGTAGTGAAGATATATTCTTGTGTTATGGTAGAGAACGATGGTTCTGTCGAGGAGCCACATATGGAACCACAAGCGTGAGTTGAGTCATGTGAAATGTCTTCGCTCAAATTGAAGACTTTCAGCAAGCAAGGTGGTTCGTCATCTGCAAGTGTTCATGCGCGACTAGATCGCGTTCGAAGACGGTTGAAAGTTAGTGGCAGCCAGGACACGAGCGAGGCGCACAGTCCAGAGGCTCCTGCGAGTCCAGTAGCCTCGAACACAGTTTCCAGAGGTACAGTTACCACTTTCTGCGATGCTCTTTTATAATATACTCTCATAGCGTTCTGACTGCAAATGCTTTTTTGCAGCAACGGATCATGTGACTTGCCCAAAATTTGTTCGAGTGCTCATCCAGAGAGCTGCTCTCACGGTTCATACGGCATTCAACCGACCCGATAACACCCATCCCGCCCCAATTACTTGTTTAGCTCCAAGCAGGTAGAAAGCAGCACTTCTGTTTCTCCCCTGCCATAATTGTGTGATGCCTGTTAAGAGATCATAAATCTTTCTTGGTTGGAGATGGAATAGGTCGAGTTTGGTGCTGGCAAGCGGGTGAGGATGGCGGTAGAGCTGACCACTGGGTACAGGTTAGTGTCAGAATCACTTCGTTGGTGCAGGCTGACGATATACTGATTGTTTTGATTGCCTTCCCTCTCCAAAACTCTCTTTTGCCAGGATATGTCTCGACAAAGATGTACCCAGTGTGCTCACAAATTCACTATTGCCGATAGAAAACATCACTGCAGAAACTGCGGACAGATATTCTGCGCAAAGTAAGTGTGTCGTTTTGTTTTTGGAGATAAGAACTGTCAGTAATGTTTTGTTGTGCTTTCTGATCCTAAATCGCTATGTTTAGATGTAGCCGATTCGAATCGCATATTACGCATATGAAGATTTCCCGTCCAGTGCGGGTGTGTCAAAATTGTTTCCTTCGTTTGCGAGCGCAGACTTAGGTAATATAGCGTATATTATTAGTGTGAATCTTGCAATATCGGAGAGAAAAGATTGTTTTATAATTCACATAATTTATTGCGGTAGCTTGCAGTATTTTCAGTATAATTTATTGTAAGTAGTGGAGATATCCATTAAGCATATTATTGAAACGGTGCGCATCAGAATCCACTCTTCGCTTACGCTTTTCTATGTTGTGATCTTATTGATTGTGATTTTCCCTATCTTGTACTTTGGAATATGTAATATGGATATAATATATGGAAAAAAAATTCTCCACACAGGCGCCAGGGTGCGCAGCTTGCAGTAGCCCTTTTGACGCGTTTGACTTCGTGTGATGATTTGACGAGATTACTATTTTATCATGGGTTTCCAATGTGCATGCGATGATCTTTTCGCCGTTGTTTGATGAATCTCAAAAGTCTTGCTGAAATCTTCTTTCTCTTTGTTATCTCTCCATAAGAATGCCGACAGCTTGTTCTGTGGAGACACCAAAGCTTCTTTATAGTTGATCTATTTATAAATTCATGCTCTCCTCTCGATCAAGCCGTCTGTTTTATCGCTCTTTTCGGGTAACTAGCTTTCGAATTACTTTAGATTGTGTCGTGAATTTTGAGAATAAATATCATCTCGCTAGCTTTTATTCGCTTGAATTGCCTTCTGCTGACTTCGTTAGATTTTTTAATCATAGCGACCTAGGGGTCGCTAGCAGTTGGGTAAAGCTGGTATATTTGTGGTGCCTGGGTTAAAAACGAGTATTTTGACAACGGAAATTTGTTTGAAAAGGTTTTTGCACAGAACACTCAAGCACTTGATAAATAAATGAACTCCATGCTCGAAAGACTTCTCATAACAGTAGAAGACCATGCTCATTCTTATTACACAAAATAACAGCACATTAACGTTACATTTGTTTTCCTTTCCGCAATCCCGCAAGATTACAGTTATCCGCCCAAAACATCCAAAAGATCTTCTCAAACTTGGATGCACTTTATTTCTCCAAATATGGGAGATCACTCAAAACTACTGCATAAAAAGAGAGAGACTCAATTTTCACACAAAAGGTCAGTCCTGCTGGAGAGATTTAGGTAACAAGAATGAAAGCCCTTTCAAATTCCGGAAAAGGCGTAGAATACTCGGTACTTCTCCTATGTGGACCCATTTTTTCAAGTGTCTTGAGGTGCTTTTGCATTCAAATGATATACACAACATTTGGCGAATTTTGGGCTACATGAAGGGGAACGTTACATACCCCGAAAGGTTGCCGCTACGTGGTTAGCAGATTCCATAGGGGGTCATGAATTGTTAGCAACGCACTTGCACCCAAGGCTTGATACATATACGGGGTGTCCCAAAAAATGTATCGAACGTTTGATCGTTAATATCTCTCTTCCCAAGAAGTCTTTTGCCTTGCTTCAGGTACCATTTTGTAAAGCTGGCTTCAACTTAGATTTGCACTATAGAACGAATCACCCATCTCTCTTCATTACTGTAGGATTACGGTAGAAACTTGAAACATATGGTGTCAATGTGGGAAAAGCTGCCGTTTCAAAATTTTTCAAAAAAATGTGAAAACTTGTGTGATAGGGTTTTTATGGACGCTGAGTTCAATACTCAACTATCCACAAGATTACGAAGCTTCCTAAACGGTGTAACTGCACTTTTTAGGAACATTGAAAAAATGGCCGCTACCTCTCACCCGGCATAACTCTTCAATGAAGCATCATAATAATTTGGGACCCTTACATCTAGAATCAGCAACGCTAAGCCCACTCTTAGCCCAGTGTAAAAGTTTTGAGGTGTTTTGTTTCTTTTCTGAGGCAAAATATGGCCTTTCATTGCTTAAAACCCTCTTTGAAGTTTCTACCGTAATCCCACAGTAACAAAGAGAGATGAGTGATTCGTTCAATAATGCAAATCTAAGTTGAAGCCAGCTCTACAGATTGGTACCTGAAGCAAGGAAAAAGACTTTTTCAGAAGAGAGATATTAACGATCAAATTTCGATACTTTTTTGACACCCTTTATACCTCGCTGCTTAGGTATGGCCAAAACTAGCGAGCAGCGAAGGCAGCGCTGCTTCAGCTGATCAGCGCTGCAGTCGGCTGTTTCTTGAGCATGTTGAGTGCGAAAACCATCTAAAATCAGTGCGTTGATCGGCAAGGTTTACTGTGCCAAAATGAAGAGAATTAGCATGTTTTGAGTTGGATCTGGAGTCATTCCGCGGGCTGCTGATCCTTTTGTCCTACTGTTGGGCATCACGTTAGGATCAGTAGTCCGCGAAGGCGGTGCCTAATTGAGGTGTTCGTTTCTCCGCCCGTAAATTTCACATTTCTCTCCTGCTGTCTCTTCATTTGCCCTGATTCATAAAATCTGGGTGAGCGGAGTGGTAAACAAATATAATATGTTACATAGCGATTTGAAATCCTCAAAACGAGCCAAATGCCACTTTCAGACGGTTCGAGTTAGGGCCAACAGCTACGGGGAGATGGCCACAGAAAGTAAAGAGAACCCCAACTTAGAGCAAAGTATAGGGGATTCGAAAGAACACGGCGATGGCACGACCGCGCGCAACACGCACGCATACCCGGCAACCGCTACTTTCTTGGTTTTCGTCTCATTCGAATGTTTTTTTCTGTTGACACATGATGGCATTCAAACGCTGGAAGTGACTGAGATGAGGTGATGTCTTTTTTTATGATTATGTTTTCTGCTCCTGCGGGAGCAAAGACCGCAGTCAAATCCGTCGTCACGATTTTATAAATGACCTGTAGACGGGAACGAGAAAAAAAGAAGCGTAATGGATTTTGCGTCCAACCTTCGATTCAATCGTTCTGGGCGGTGCTGACACGGGTTCGACACTAGTGCTTCGACTAGACTTGCCAGCGGGCGGTATTCTGCAGCAACGTCGAATAGCAGACAAATCAACAGAACATGAAAGTGTAATCGTTGATTGCGGAAGGACAGCTAACGAATGCCAACACCTCAAACTTGAGTATTTAAATTTTTATCGTTTTTGCTTACCTGGGCCTATTCGCTATGCTGAATCCGAAAATACACTGGAGAGCGCAAAAATGGCGAAAGAGGACTTTCACAGGAATGGAGTTAGCAGGTAGGCGGAGCTTTCCACTCTGTGAGGTCACTTTCCCAGCTTCAGGAGTGATGAGCTGGGGGCCCAAGGAGAGATGTAGGGGGAAAAGGGGGTCCCCAGACTCCAAGGCAAAACAATTTAAAATTCAAAGAACCGACAAAGAAATTAGGAGGGTTAGTTTGATTCCCATCTTTCTATCTTGCCGGCCTGGCTTCCTTCGGACTGGGGCTTCGTTCGTGCTACCTAGAACGTTGATCTGCAACGCGGGTCGCTGAAGTAAGGATATAGTACAGAGAATACCAGAATAACACAGGAGGTAGTTGCAGAGAAACCGCCGGCACACGTCAACACCTCAAACTTGGTTGAACCACTAATGCCTCGCCTGTGGAACCCTATAGAGGTAAGCTTATACCTCGCGGTCATGGGCGGCGCGTCGGAGGCGCAGACGCGCAGAGATGTGTGAAAAATATGTTTTTCTTATGAGCCGGGCAAAGCCGGTCACCCCAGCTATCGATTGATAACGAGAAGTAACCTACGACACGCGCCCGGCCCCTATATGTAAAGGCTACTGCATGACGAAGGCGCAGAAGCAGTATTAGCTGAGCGAGCGCGAACGCGGCGCCCGCGTATCCTCGTTGTTGCAAATCCTGCGCCTCATGCGGTCTGCGGCTAATAAAGCCGCGTTCGCGCTCAAAGATATTGCGCCTTCGTCATGCAGCAGCGTATTTTGTGAAGTTTGGTACAAATTGGCCCAGAAAAAAATTCAACCCGCACATACGTACACACAGATAGATAGACGAACAAACATTCTGCTTTTTACATAAAAAAAGCATATGCCTTAGGCATCGGATAGCTGAGGTTGTCGCTCTCCCTTGCGGGAGAGCTCTGCAAAATTTGAGGTCACCGCCGGGGCCACATTAGTGGCCACCGGCGGCGCGGGCGACGTCGGCACCCTTGCGGGTGCCGCCGGATCGCCCGCGCCCACGCGCGGTGGCGCCCTTCTTACTGCTCCCCTCGCCCCGCGCCGCGGTGCCGCCGGGTGGGCTCCGCGGATGGGGGTGAGGGGGAGGCTGCGAGGGCGGCGGCGGGAATAGGAGGGGGGAGGCGGTCGCAGCACAAGACTCTCGAGGGCCACCACGCGACCCTCGATTTCTCGCACGGCGACCATGGCGGAGGGGTCCTGCTGCTTGATTTGCAGAACTCCTACCATTTGATCAACATTCACAAACATAGTATTCTCCTCCCACTCCAAGATCGCCTTAGGAAGATCTTCCATACGTATCGCTACTATTCGCATAGTCATTGTTCCTCAAACTTGGGTAATTAAACCGTTTTTTTAAACATATTGAACATACAACATGGCAATGGGTAAGCAAGTGAGTATCATAAGTGCGAACTGAACCGTATCATTGAGTACCAAAACATGGTTATGACCTGATAACAGTGAATGAACTACATTGAAATTCGGATAACCAGTACATGGTTATCAAAGGCATGCGAACAAATAAGGCATGCGAGCAAATAAAGAAACAGGGATATGTGAACAAAATAAAGAAACAGAGATATAGGAAAAATAGAGAACAAAAGATCAGAGATATGTGGACTAAATAAAGATTCAGTGATATGCAAAAATATAAGAATCGAGATACACGAATCAAATGACGACATGGAAACACTTGAGTCGACTTCATTGCGTGTCCGCTTCGCCGCCGCTAAAATAGTCGATTTTTGGCGCGTGACGTAGATCATGGATGTGCTGAGGCCGAGAATCAAGTCCGGCCTCAGTACAAGTGGTCTTCTCGCTTCCGCTAGCCGCCTTAACATCGCCACCGCCCATGCGCAAAAAGGTTCAGCTGGATTTTCGGATTCAGCTTAGCGAGTAGGCTCTAAGCAAAAAATTGTGAGATCGATTTCTGCCCGGACATTGCCTTTGAGTCGCGGATAGCTAAGATATCAAACTCAATTCATAATAGTAAATTGCAAAAGGGGAGCGCGATGAGAGCACTGCGTCGTAAAGTAACGGCACGCCATACCGAAAACACAAATCCGAAGGAACTTTCTGGATGAAAGATGGATATGTGAACTATTTCAGCTGGAGAAAGCACAGTAGGTCAACGAAAGATCTGTATCTACATTATAAGTCACTGGAGACGTAATAATGAAATCGACCAGAATAGTGACACGAGTCACTTGTGATGACCAGTCGGGAAAACACGCGCAATTGATATTACGAAATTTGGCTCATGATCTTACGAATTGTAGCATTGTCCCAGACGACGGTTTATGATCTTACGGAAATTGGCGTTGTCCCAAAGACTTGCGAAATTGGCTCACGATCTTGCGAATGGCGTTTCAAAGACTCGAACTAAACCAGTATATATCATTATGAGGTAAAAGAGCAACCAGTTTGGCAGTATTCCAAAAAGTCATGCCACACAGGACCACAGTCCAAAAGCTCAGTATATTTCATCATGGGGCAGCAATCCTAGGGCAAAGATCATTATACTTGCCATAATTTCTCCGTCTGCTGTGTTCTCAATTGCCCTGATATGTAGAATCCGGGGGGGGGGGGGGGTAATCAAGTTTTTATTGCATGTTACGTAGTGATTATCAGTGTAAAAGGGCAGGGCATACGCAAGACGAGTTCTTTCAGTAAGAAAGTTGTTGAGACCATCTAAGCAATAAAATTATCGGACATGTGCTAACTGTGAAATATTAGTGCCAAAATACAAGAAAGAATTAAATAATCTGATGTGCTCTGATGAGACATAGGATGGTTTGTGGAAACAATCGAAATGCATCTTCAGCAATAACTCTGGAATTGGCTGCTTGTACAAAAGCAGAAAGGGAGCTAAGAGCAGGCAGCAATTGATGCTGGACAGTGAGCGGAAAACGAAAACTTCAAAAATTCAATTCAGGATAGCTAGACTGGGTTGGGCAGACATGTACCATCGGCTCCCAGGTCGCACGATGACGGAGTCCGGCGACTGTATCAGCGGTGCGATCCTGCGAAAACGACTACCCTTATTAAGCTCAAGAGGTATCCGTTTCCAACAAACCCGCTAGCCGAGCCCTGCATGCCACTTCTCGCAATGCAAGGCGCTCTTTAAAACCCGGAAACTGTGAGCACTGATCGCAGCGCTACTCAGAGACGACCGTAGTTAAGAAGCGTCGCAGACACAGCCTAATCTCTCCTCGCTAATCATTACCAGCCTTATGGTTATAAATAACTGCACCGAATTACGTCAAGGCTTGCTCTTTTTTCATTTGTTTCTCTAGTTTTTACATATGTTTGAAGTGGATTTTGCCCTTATGGATGTGCTGCCGTTTATGATTTGTTTGGAAAGAGCCGTTGTTCAAGACGTCCTTTAAATTGGCGGAGTATCTTTGGATTTGAGTACGATTTGATCCCCGAGCCTTCGAGATTCAGAGCGTTAAGCTTTCGTGCTCCATTAGATTTGCCGTAAGCCCATATCACCAACAAAATTGACATCTTTGCAGCCCTGGCTCGCGCGAGGTGATCTCAACGTCAAGGTCAAGCTAGTACTTATCTTTAAAGCATGGATCGAGGACGGGTGCTTTCGTATTATTTGCCTCGCTATCATCATTATTTCTTCTTGTCTTGTTCTTTTTCACGTTTAGAGATATTTCATTTGTGTGTTGGATCGGTTTTCTTCAGAAAAGAAAACTTAATGTCGAAGAGGAATGCAATGAAGGGGGAAAATGTCGATTGAGGGCGGTGAGAGAACGTGAGACATCTTGAATCATGGATTAGCCCTCTAGTATGAGCAATCATCAGGAGGGTATTTTAACCTTTGAAAGTATAAGATAACTCTTGGAAAATGCAAATGACTTCTCTTCGATAAAGCGTGATCATCTTACGTTATATATAAATGATGAAAGAAAGCGCAGAACCAGCGCTGTATTCTCTAATCAGTGAACGCACGGACTGGCAGTGCCTACGGCGGCCACGGGCTGGCTAAAACATTGCGAGAGCATGACTTGTACCATTACTATTTGTACTGGGACAAGCATTTAACCGCGCGTAGCGTGCATCGCAATGACGACTAGTCGGTGCGGTTGATGAGTAAACAACAGGTAATGTCTTGAGTGTCCGGTAAGCCAAAACGGAAGGGGCGTTTCGGCTCTATCGGGCTTTTCCGGGTTTTGGGCTTTTTGGGCTATTTTGGGCCCTTTTGGGCTTTCCTCGGCGAAGTATGACGGGTCCCTTGGAAGTAGCGACGAAATAGTGGCGAATGAATCGCTTTGCTATACTTGGGCATAACTCTGCATCAACTGGGTGCATTCGAACGCTGTGTCTGGCATTCGGGATTCCGCTTAGAATTCGGGTGGTGAGGCTTACCGGACGTTGTGATCACCAAAATGACACTGATTCCGCACATAGGACCGTTTTTGAAGGTTATGATGGGTGTGCACTAATCAAATTCCTGCAACTGCTGAAACTCTACGTAATTCACTTATTTGACCACAGCCATCATAATATATTCCTTACGGTAACGTGTTTTGGCGGAGATTGAGGTGGAGCCTCACATTTCACCCTGGACATCTACAAGACAAGAAAACCATGTATGATCGACTCTCAGACTCACATAGTGACGGGTTGCGAACTTCCCTAAATATAAGGATTTAGAAGTTAAACTTCCACGTTTTGGCATTGCCTTTCATACTCCCTCCGATCAAAAATTGCCACGTTTTGACTTGCCAGGACTTCACATTCCACACCAATTTGGGAGCCGATAATACCTACATTAATTGCATAAAATGGCCTTCTCGTATGTATCGAAGTTACCAAAAATTGTGATGTTGCAGATCTATCAGTTATCAAACATCTCTGCAAGAAAACATTTTAAATCAACTAAGAAGCTCCAAAGAACTCTTTCGGGCGGAACCCAATCTCATCGATAAAATCGCGTTGCTCGTTTGAAGCCGGTGACGCGATATCGCTGAGATCTGGCCAAATCGCGACGATTTAGATGAGGAAGTATGCCCCAGCAAAAACCGTTCACGCCCCGTCGCGTCGAACAATTAGCACAACCGACATGCTTGATATCGACATGCAATGAAGTTAGTTATTTTGTAGGGGAACCGGGAGGCGATGAGATCGCGTTATGTATGCCCAGGCTTCGAGGCACTAATTTTATCGTGCGCCTACTCCGCGAACTGATAGGCTGAGATGTTGCAAAAGTTTAGGGCCGGTTTTTTAAAAAAATTTTTCGGTATACCGATTTGCTAATTAGGAATTCAAAGCAGGGTGAGCAGGTTTTTCTAGAGAGTTTACCTATGACCAAACCTAAATGCAAAGCTCTTCAGGTCGAAATAAATTTCAACTTCATCATATTGAACAAATTGGACGCATTTAAACAGATACGAAGTTATTATACCACGGAGAATCGACGCACTCTGGCTATAATGGATTAGTTTTGAAATCTTCAACCAGAAACTAAAGAAACGATCAAGAAATCTTTCAAAAAATAAGTCGCTTTCAGCGATTTGGTTGCGTCGGTCGTTTGAAGTCAACGACGCGACATCGCTAAAATTTGAGCAAATCGCGGCGATTTCATGAGGGGAGTACGCACGGGAAAAACGAACAGCGATTATTCGCGCCGGAAAACTATCACAACCAAATGGTAAAGTGATCGACGAATAATTGTTTTGTAACAGCTGTTTTGTAGAGAGAATCGTGAGGCGATGGAATTGCGTGATGTGTGCCCGGCCCTTTTGGGAAAGATCATGCGAATACCAAGTTCAGACAAGTAGGTTTTCAAACATTGAAAAGAATGTCATGATGCAAAATAATCAGTCATTTTCACTCAGGTGAGGGTTTTATAACACTATCTGTGCAGAGAGAAACGAAAGAACCCATTGTCAGAAAGACGACTGGCATAATATAAGATAGAAAACGACCGACAATGAAGACATAACACTTCAAATCATCTAGTCAAAGTGCAACTAAAATAACGATGTAGGTAGTCAAATTATTAGGTTGGAAACTAAGTTTTCCAATTTTTCCAGTAACTTTCCTCTCATTGAATATGAGGCGCTCAAATTCCGCTATTATGCAGGCTATGACGTAAGCAACAAGCGTAGCCATTGTTCTGGCAAATTTCGAAGTCGCACTGAGGGTTACGGTAAGTATATAGTATAAGAAGAAAAATCAATTATTACGAATTCAGCTAAAACATAGTGTAGGGGGGTTACTGACATACTGATCATGGAAGTAACATTCTTCTGCACGGTTGGGGCTTTCTTGTGAGGTCACTGTAAATTTACGGTATGGGATTTCACCCCAAATTAGAAAGAGAGTTTTTAACAAATGAATGTGTTATTCGTGTTTGGCAGGTTGAATAACCTCATTATGCACAATCTCGACGAATATGAGGTTCCGACTCCTTAGTCAAGGACGGTTGTCCCAAACAGGTTTGCGTATAGCGGCTCGTTCAACTTCGTGAGAACGCCACATCTTAACTTGTATTCAAAGTCTATTTTCTTATTAGTGAGCCGAATAAGTCAAACACTAGCAGCAATCCCTATGTAGTTTCGGATCATTGTGGGTCTAGGTTGAGAAAGGCTTCGTTTTTGCTCATGACCCCATACCTCGAAATTCACTACTTTTCGAAAATGCCTGAACATTTTTATTTCATGTCTAAAAGTTAAACAGTTTTTCATATGTCGCTCGCATTACAATACATATTATCAAAGTTTGAGCGCGCAACATCCAAAGAAAGCAAAGTTAAGAAAGAAGTTGCAAATCTTAATCTCCAACCTAATATAATTACTACATAGATCTAGAGTTAGAGCGGTCACAGCTCACATATTTGGTACGGCTGTGGGACTTGTAACGAAAAACGGTGTTTTCACTCTGATGTCCGTAACAATGCAAGAATTATTTTTGTCTATTCTTTATGTATACTTGATCAAGCCTCTTTTTTACTCGATCATAAAGCGCTTTCATTAGATGAGGCGGATAGGGAGTCAAGCTCCATTCGCACATTTCATCAACATATGGTTTCCATTTTCTGCCCCAATCACCAGCAGCGACATCGCGATAGTGCCTGAATAAAAGTGACTTTTAATGAGCACATAAACATTTGCCACGCACCTGATATAAACAACGCTTTCATGCACGTATAAATTCCTGTATTCAGGGAAAAAGTATTTCACCCTATGCACCCATAGCCAAAAGACCTGAAATTGAAGAAGCACACTCCAAACTGGCTTTTTAAACGTTTCGCGCTTTATTGATTTTTCCATCATTGAGGTACTTCCTTTCGTAGCAAAGTTATTCAAAGCACGATTTTCTCACTTTTGTTGGATCCACTATACATTTTGGAGAAGCTGGATGTGGAGATATCGATGAAGTATTGTGAAATATAAGCGTGGGAAGGTGATTGAGTAGTGTTGCATCTCCCTGGATAAATCACTGTTCGTGCATAACCAACATATGCTGGAATCGACTTTCACCTCATAAATTTGTGGTACACGTGTTGTTCTTAGTACCCATCTAGCTCCAAGCCATAAACTCCCTACATCTGGGTTGTTTTTCATCTTTTTCCTATGATTACAAGAATTAGCTGTTTACATGCCTGAGTCGTGAAAAACCCGCCTAACGAAACTTGCAAGGCTAATGTTTCCTGTAGGAAGTATCCGCTCGTCTAAATCAGCAAAAATCACATAACGCGAGCGGTACCGATTTCTTTGCAAACAATCCTGAAAATTACGAATTTTGATCGACAGTCGTCCAAGCGCACAGTTTAAGCATTGAGTTTTTTAAGGCTGGGTTTATACTGATTCCCATGCTCCTGAACTGTTCCCGCACAGATCCCGCACTGTGCTGGAACTGTTTCGGAACTGTGCTGCATGCGCTGCAACCGCCCCGCATGCGTTTTGAACGGCGGGGGTTGGTTGACCGTTTTCAGCGATATTTCTTCCAGATTCCTCTCATTTTGGCCTTAATCCTCTACCTCACTTCTCCTTGTGATGAGAAAAACTGTGAACTTGAAGCAGGGTTGGGGAATGAATGTTGCTCTTCTCTACTTATCCGGAACATGCACATGAAAGAGAACAACGTTCTCTCTTTGACTCCGCTTCAAGTTCCCAGCTTTTCTTATCACTAGGAGAAGCGGGGTAAAAGAGAGAACGGAGAAGCAACGATGTGGAAAAAGGAAAGGAGGGGCTGAGAATGTCCAAAAGCGAAATTCATCAAAAAACAAGGGCAAAGTTCCTATTTCCGCATTTTCGGAGTGTTCGCATGTCCTAATTCGAGATAGATGCCTGGGAAACTACGCGGCAGCTTCCTGAAACAAATGGAGTACGTTTGAGCAAAAAGAAAACGAAGCGAGGATGGACAAGCACAAGAATACACATTTTGTCGAATACGCAGCGCAGAAAAGCGCCCATTCTTCAAACCTGCTTCGAGTACGAAGTTTCGCTGATCAAATAGGAAAGCGGGGTAGAGGAATAAGGCCATGAGAGGAATCTGGAAGAAAAACCGTTGGGAACGGTCAAAATTCTCCAATTTCCGCCGTTCAAAACGGTGCGGGGCGGCTGCAGCGCGTGCAGCACAATTACGAGACTGTTCCCGCACAGTTCCAGCACAGTGTGAGAACTGTGCGGGAACAGTTCCAGAACATGGGAATCAGTATGAACCCAGCCTAAGATACGCGACCAGCAAGCGCACTACAGCCCCCCCCCCCTGCAAAGTAGCAGAAACTCCTTTGAATGTCAATGGAGAAAGTTATCGGAAAAGGGCTAAGAAAAATGGACTTATTTTTCGCACCTTATTTTCTACTACTTTTATACTACATTCTAAAACGTTTAAAGAACGTTTGAAGTTCTCGTTATATCTTTCTTTTTTTTGCAACCGCTATTGGCAAGTGATGCCATCAGATGTCAGTTTATCTAATCAATTAGTTCGGTGCTCTTGAAAGTTTGCGACAAGTCCTGGGAGGTTTTCCTTCCCTGAACCTCCGTTTTAAATTCGCTCCTTACAACTATTTGTTCCACTTTCTTATAAACTCAAAATTTCTGTGCATATAACCACGCTGAGCTTATACCGTTCCTGATCTATATGTTTGACGTCTGGCAGTAATTTCTACTTTCAAATCTGCTAGGCTAATTAGTTAATTGCAAAAACTTTCTTGTTCACTTTATTTTTGTATCTTAACTCAATTATTCGCCATAGTTCTTCTTTCGTCAGTGCAGTTCTTTTTGCACCGAAACTCGGAAATCATTTCACCTGCACTTCTGCATACTGCTTGTCCCCTTCTATGATGCCTTTGAGATGAATGACCTCTGCAACGCCATCTGCTTCATAGCTTTTTAACAACTGTACGAAAGCTTTTCTTTATTTGGAAACAGTATAACAAAAATGTTTGCAAACCTTGTAGGAGTAATCGTCAATCTTTTTCACATAGAGATAGAAATGGTCAAGGCCCTGTAATCTATAATGTTCTATCAGTTCTGCTAACAACAGCCATTTAGTTTCGTTGCCAAAAAGTGGAGGTAGACACAACGAGATTGTATAGATGAACTCTGATAGTCAAGCGAAGGATCACACTTTTGCATTGACAATAACTAAAAATCTGTTACCCCCAGGTTTTCGGTCTGAGATCTCTATAGCATCAGCAATTTCATCAAAAGAACCAGTAGTGACACTCATAAACGTGGCAGAAGGATGATGGCAGCAGTGAATAGCATACTTAGGATAGACCAGCGTCAATAATGGCGTATCGATCTCGTGCCATTGATGGTCTAAGTATCGGCAATACACAAACTTCCTGAAAAAATGGATGGAAAGCTTAAAGACACTGTTTATTTGTTGAGATGAAATCCTGTTGTGCGCAACAGCAGCCACAAACTATGTGGTTGCCCAAATATTGCTATAAAAGCTCACCAAGGGTGAGAAAATTATGTGCAAAAGATGCATGCAGAGAAACAATACCAACGGGTGGTCTCAAGAAAGCATTTGACTCGGAAAGTTCAATGCTGGCCTTCACAAGATGTATATTGATTAGAATATCATGTAATGCTCATCACGAAGGCATATCTTTGATAACGGCACTAAGCGAAGTTACAGAGTATCTGTACAAGTGACACATAAAGGGTGTCCGTAAAGTATGTATACACTGTTTGATTGTTAATATCTCTTTTCCCAAGAAGTCTTTTGCCTTGCTTTAGGTATCATTTTGTAGAGCTGGCTTCAACTTAGATTTTCGGTATGGAGCGAATCACCCATCTCTCTTCATTACTGTAGGATTACGGCGGAAACTTCAAAGAGGGTTTTGAGCCATGAAAGGTCATATTTTGCCTCAGAAAGGAAACAAAACGGCCTGTAAGCTTTTACCTAGGCTAATTAGAGTTGCTGATTATAACTGTAAAGTTCCCAACTTATCATGATGCTTCATTGAAGAGTTATGTCAGGTAAGAGGTAGCGGCCATTTTTTCAGTGTTTCTAAAAAGTGCGGTTATAGCGTTTAGAAAGCTTCGTAATCTTTCGAATAGTTGAGTATTGAACTCAGCGTCTATAAAAACCCGACTACACAAGTTTTCACAATTTTTTGAAAAATTTTGAGACGGCAGCTTTTTCCACTTTGACATCATATGTTTCAAGTTTCTACCGTAATCTTACAGTAATGAAAAGAGATGGTGAATCGTTCTATAATGCAAATCTAAGTTGAAGCCAGCTTTACAAAATGGTACCTGAAGCAAGGCAAAAGACTTCTTGGGAAGAGAGATATTAACGATCAAACAGTGTATACATAGTTCGGACACCCTGTATAAAGCTTGGTAGGGGAGGAATCTCATAACTCATGTGCCTCTCTCGTCCCAGTCCAGTGTTCTCTCCCCGATCGCGGTGAACAGCTTTGAAGCGATGTTGCTGTGTTGGACCTCCTCCCACTTGGAATTGTCAGGGGGAAAGAAATAACTGCATGTTGTGTACTCTTTGTGACAGTCGGCTAATGTCCTCATGTAAGCTGGGTCCACCTTGATCAAATAAATCTGGCGGATGGTGTTGGATCCGACCTATCAATGGCTTTCTGGTTCTCGACGAGGGTTAGGATGAGAAGCAGTCGGTACTCGCGACAGATTTCTATGGCCCTCAACCGTCCTAGAAGTATTCAATTTCATAGAGTTCTTTGCGAAATTCAGCTTGTTTTTGAGGCTGACCTTTGTCTAGTGCCCTCCATATGTGAACAAAAAAGTCTTCGTAAAAAGCTTGTACAGCACACTTAGCACGGAAAGCAATTCCAAAGATCCTCCCGTTCCGTTTTTGAGTGTAAATTATCAAACGCAACTCTAAAATCTTGTATAGACTGTGTCGTTCGGCTTCGGAGGGAAGTTTATCCTAAAGCTGTGGATATCTTCATAGTTTAAATCGCGGTGCCCAAATCAGCATTAGAAACTGGTGGTACTTCTCCACTGGTAACATCGGTATCGGTACAGTGCTGATGAATGGAAGAGGTTGGTTCAAAAGTTCTTTACGATAGATCTCATCGCATATCGGAAGAAGTCCCTTCTTTGCTCAGCCAGTAGTGCTGCCAGCATAAGTTATCAAACAGAACAACAACATTCTCTCTAAGTCTTAGGTTGCTGCTAATATTTTGACTTGTTTGTATTCCTGAAATTCTACCGCACAGCTGTTCTGCAATCGGTGTTGGCTATCGTCGCTCATGAGTTGTGTTCGGAGCATGTCTCAAAGATCTTCTTTTTTCGAGAAAATTCTTCGTGGTCCTCAAAATGCGTTCCAAGTTGTTTTCAGAAGTCAATGAGGCGCACTCTCCGCAGGCTCGTAATCCTTGCAAAAGTGTCGTAGTCGCACGTTGGGTTCTGCTCGATGGGTCAGTTATAGCTTGATATGAGCTCCTTCAGGCTGTGATCGTCATAATGGACTTCTCTCTTTTTGCGGCACTTGGCAGCCCCTCTATTCCAGCTATCGACTGACAAGGGAAGTACTTTTCATGGCCGTGGCCTTTTGATATAAAATGCATATCATCTGAAGCAGCTTCGAACGCTGATTCTAAATCTGCTTTCTTTTTCTGCGGAGCGCTCTCCTGAAAAGAGTTATGGAAGCCTGAATATCCTGATTTCGGGAGCTCCTTGAGTTTGAGGACGCTGCTACGTACGTTGGTGGTGCAGTGGTGTAATGGTTAGTTGCTGGCATTAAAGGCGAAAGGTCGATGGTTCGAATCCGGTTTGGTTGATTCATTTGAAAGATTTTGATTTCATTTTAAAAGCCACTCCAATATTGTTCCCCTAGTTACTCAATGTGTGCTTGCGAGCATGAGAATTGCGCGGAGGTTTTCTTCATACGCTGTTCCCGTTGTGAGAAATGTCTGTGTTTTGCTCTCTTTGTAATTTCGCTTCACCTCTGTACATGAATTTTTTTGCGGAGAAAACCAAATCTCAACAAGCAAGCCTTTGTCAGAAATTTTTTTCCCAGGTCACATTTGCCAAGAGCATTACAATAATTGTCTGCAGACGAATTAGAGTGGTTTTCAAACTCACAATCGTAGTGCAAAATGTTCGCTCTGCACTGGATTCGAACAATTGGTCTTTCGCCTTCAATGCAACAACTAACCATTACACCACTGCACCAACAACACAAATAGCAGCGCTCTCTAACTTAAGAATCACCCCAAAATACGATATTGAGGCCTCCATAACTCTTTTCAGAAAAGCGCTCCGCAGAAAAGGAAAGCAGATTTAGAATCAGCGTTCGAAGCTGCTTCAGATGATATGCATCTCATATCAAAAGGCCGCGGCCATTGAAAGTACTTTCCTCGTGAGTCGTATCATTTGTAAGGACGCGGTTGGGAAGCACTGCAGAAGAATGGGACTAGTGGGACCTCTAACTCCTCTCCGTCTGGTGAATATGAAGCGGTCTGGGTCGTTCTAGCTTAAGTAATTCTATAGTACAAGCCTGCGAGCCTTTGTGTAGGGCTGTGCTAATAAAACTCTAAATTTTTAGCCGTTCGAGAGCTTTTTTGAAAAATATTATCAAATTTAACTTTACTTTTTGGGGTTTTTCCTTAAAATTGAAATTTCTCAAAAACAAAGCTTTGAAAAGGCAAAAAATCTTTTTAAAAAAAGTTTTATTAGGCTATCGCATAAGTTTCGTCCGCTTAGACTTTTGGACTTTGAACCGCACATGCACTTCTTATATCTGAACAGAAAATGATGTCAAAACACTTTTTTATAGCGCTAAGAAAGCTCTATATTTATAGTTGGAATCCAACATTTGTATTTCAATGATTTATTCGAAATATTCGACTACTCCAAAATTCGAATAGTCGAATACCGAGAAAGTCCATTTATTGAATATATTCGAATAATTGAATGTATGAGAAAGACTTTTATTTGAAAAGATTCGTTCGAATATTCAAATATTCGAGGGGATGGAAAAAGTGCATATTCGAATATTAAAGCCCATTGATTCGAACATTCGATGTCCAAAAACTTCAGCTGTTCTACATTCAGCGCAAATGTCCCCGATCAGTCTGTCATACAAATGAAGGAACATATGACAGAATGGCTAGCAGGGTTCCCTTTTCAAGGAAAATGCGAATCATGCCAGAGCGTAGCGAGGAAGGACAAGTCTTGTGCATAATTCATTTGCGGTGGTGAACTATCTTCGGGAAATCGCTTCTGCAGCAGTTGTGATGCGATATCATGTTCAAATACCTCCAAGCTTTAAATTGGGTATAGAAGCAAAGCAGTCATTAGGCACCGCTTAGGCTCCGTTCATACTGAACCGGAAGTTCGGGAACAGTTCCAGCACATTATTCAGTTTGAGCGCTGAGCTGGAACCGTTCTCAAACTTCCGGATCAGTATGAACGCAGCCTTAGCGACCACTGGTCCTCAAACAGCTCGCATAAGTAAAGGACCAGCAGTCTCTTGAAGGCATTGGCTCGGCAGAACGACAACTTGGATATTTATCGTTCTTGACTCCTTTAGATGAGCCGAGTCTGAGACTGTGCTTTCAGCTTTCAAAGATATTAATAACTCGCTTTCCGGGACGTGAAAAGTGCTGTTTGTGCAAATCGGGAAAGTGGCTGCTGGAGCCAATAATTCAATTACCGCGGAGTGGGTACGGTGTCTCCACCCGTGAGCCAATCGCGTTTCAAAGGGGAGGCTTACCCCTTTCGCTTAAATAGCTCTTTTCACGTCTGGAAAAGGGAGTTATTGATGTTTTTTTGAAGCTGAAAAGCACAGATTGAACTTAGCTTATCAGGGAAAGAGAACGATGAATATCCCAAAGTTGTCATTTTGCCTAGCCGCTGCCTTTAAGGCAGCACGTAATCGCAACATTCATTCCTTCATCCCGAGATTCCGCTTACCTCACCGCCTGCGTGTCAAAATACTGAAAGAAACGTTGACGCTGCGCAAGGCCAGAGCAAGGCAGTTGCGAGGACCTGATCCGCTTGGTGGCCTATCGCCTATGTCAGTCTGTCACCATACTCAAATCGGCTGCCTTTACAGTCAGGAGGGAAAAAAAACTACAATTAAATGTTGCAAAGTTCATAGAGGAATAATATGGAGTAGGTGTATAGGTTGAACATAATTATCTTGAAATGAGTAAAAGATGTGAAAGATCCCTTACAACAAAAGTACAAACATCAAAAATACAGCTAAAACACTTTGTGAAAATTCAATCTTACAACAAAAACTGTGAAACTCAGCGATTGATAATTTTCGACAAATGTCAGATTAGCAGGTAATTTACAGATATTTCCATGACTTTTCTTTTTCTGTATTTAGAAAGGCGCAAAGGTATCATGTAGACAACAGTGCGTCATCTCTGCTGCAAAGGTTCACTGATTCTATTACTGCACCCCTTCCTCGTGCTTTGCCAGTGCTGGTCTTAGAACTCATGCAATGACCATCACGAATAAATTACAAACAGCTACTTAATTCAGAAGTTCCAT